GCAAGGGACTGGGAAGGAACTTAGTCAGTGGAGTACTTGTCTAGCATGCCTAAGGTCCTGAGTTCAATCCCCAGCGTCACGTAAGACGTGTGTTTAGAGGACAGAGGCAAGAAGATGACAAGTTCAAAGTCATCACGAAGTTCAAAGTCATCCTGGGCTACACAGTGAGTTTGAAACCAGTCTGTAAAACATGACACTGGACACAGAGAGAGGTGGAGATAGAGAGAGGAAGAGAGGGAGACAGACAGAGCAAGAGTCTCAGTGGCAGAGCCAGAGGCAGAGCCAGAGACAGACAGATGCAGAGAGACACACAGAGACAGAATGTTGTTGATCAGTATTACATTTGTACCTAACAAAATTCAATGCATTTAGAAAGTGAGTCACCTAAGTGTTGTTACAAATGACAAGAGAATCTAGTAAGGGTTCGAACTCAGAGGGTAAAATTACAACCTCTGTGATACAAGCAACAGTTAAGCAGGCCTATGGGAAAAAGACCTCTTCCCCATAGCAGCAAGAACGTAAAGGATCCAGGGGTTGATTTGACAGGTTACACACAGACACACACACATACAATTAAAAACTAAATAAATCTTTAAAAAAAAAAGGAAACCCACATTATAGTCTGTAGTTACGGTAGCACTTCCTGTCTGATCATGCTTGCTAACGTCAGAAAACAGAGACATGTCTAGCATGCAGGAGGCCCTAGATTCCATTCCCAGCACTGAAACAAACAAATAACCAAATAAGCTATGAATGTGTCTCAATTGCCCCGGACTCACAGTGGCGATAAGGTTGATTGCCGAGGCGAGGCTAAGTGTAGGGTAAACAAGTGCCCCTCCAGGACCATCCGCCTAAGGCTGCCTGTCTCCTGGGAGGGGCTTCTGCTGGGAGAGGCTGTGCTCCGGACTGCTTAAAATACAAAACTGTGGACGAGTCAGCATGGAAGGGTTAAAACTTCATACGGCCCCACCCTGGACAAAGAACTGCAGGTAACTAATGGCCGCGGAAAAGGGAGGGGCCGCCTCTCCCAGGCATGGTCCCCTTATTGGTTACCCACTGCAGAGGGGTCAGCCCTGAAAGCGTATACACAAACAACAGAAACAGGGTTGGAAGGCTGTATTTACATATGTTTATGAGAGTGTGTGTGTGTGTGTGTGTGTGTGTGTGTGTAACAAAAGTCAAACAAACAAAAAAGAAGAGCTAAACCTGAAAGTGGTGGGAAGGGTTGGGGAGGGGCCTGGGGGAGGGTAGCTGCGAGGGAGGGAGGAAAAGGGGGAAAAAAACCAAGTGGCAAATGTTGCCGACAACGTGGATGAAAAGGAAGCCATAACGTCTGCTGCTGGGGATGTAAACCCGCCCAGTAACTATGAAACTCAGTACAGTGTCTTTAAAAAAAAAAAGAAAGAAAGAAAAATGTTCATAGTTAGAGCCTTCTTGTCTTTGCCCAAAGAACTCCAGGTTGACTCGTCACAGAGACACGTGTGCTTTTCGTAGCTCTGTTCACAACCGCAAGTCAGGAAACCAACCCCAATGTCTCAAAACAGAACGGAAAGGAAACATGTGGCATGTGTACACAACAGAGTTCTCTTAGGAGTTCTCTTAGCTCTGAAGAATGAAGTCGGGATGTTTCCAGGAAAGTGGATGCAACTGGAGATAGTCATGTGAAGGGAATTAAATGAGTCTCAGAAACACAGATGTTGATATTGCATCTTCTCTCTCATTTTGGCTCCCAGGTTGTATGTACACACAGATCACGAAAGTAGAGAACTGTCTAGGGTCATAAGGAGAACCATTGGGAAGAGGAAGGAGTGGGTACAGATGGTGCCGGGTGTGTGTGTGTGTGTGTGTGTGTGTGTGTGTGTGTGTGTGTGTGTGGTCAATGTGCAGTATACACATGGACAAACGCTTTTAAAAGCTAAAACGTGGATCGGTGAGACACCTTAATGGATAATGGTGCTTGGTACCAAGCTTGACAACCAGAACCAACACGGTGAGAGGAAAGACCAATTCTTGAAAGTTCTTCTCTGATGTTTACCAAATCTGTGCCTCCACCCAATAAATAAATAAAAACAACAAAAAGTTTAAAACATATATAAACACACAGCTTGGAAACATATAAAATTGGGAACTGGGTATAGTGGCCCACGCCCATACTCTCCACCCGCTGTGGAGGCTGAATTTACTTAAATTCAGGAGTTGGCAGCTAGCCAGTAGAATAGTGAAACCCCATCTCTTAAAATAAAATTGGAACAGAACTATAGCTCATGGCAGAGAGCATGCTTAGCATCCCTAAGGCCCTGGCGTTCAGTCCCAGCACTGTGCAGAAACAAAACAAAAAAAAACGGACTCACCAAACAAAGCAGAACATACCTGACTCATATCCCACAAACCTCCTAACAGAAAACCCGATTAAACAACACTACCCCTCCCACCCCCCAACCCCCCCAAATCTGTAAAGATGACTTTTTCCCCCCCAGACAGGGTTTCTCTATGTAGCTTTGGAGGCTGTGGACCAGGCTGGCCTCGAACTCACTGAAATTCACCTGCCTCTGCCTCCCGAGTGCTGGGATTAAAGGCATTCATCACCACTGCCCAGCGACTGATGATTTTTTTTTTAAAAACTAAAACTTTTGTTTTTCGAGACAGGGTTTCTCTGTATTGCTTTGGCGCCTATCCCAGAACTCGCTCTGTAGACCAGGTTGGCCTCGAACTCACAGAGATCCACCTGCCTCTGTTTTCCGAGTGCTGGGATTAAAGACGTGTGCTACCACTGCCTGGCAGTTAGCATTTCTCGAGTGCCTACTGTGTACCAAGAGACTTACTAGGAATTCTGTGGGCATCCTAATCAATTGGGCTAATTTCTGGTGTAGAAAGCACCTCCCCTTGTTTTCCCAGAGGAGAAGCATCCCCTGAGGGGGCCTAGGGTCTGCAGGGCCACACAGCTTGTGACTATGGCACAGCAGTGTGTGAGCTCACACAGACAGGAAGGAGAAGGGACAATGACCTGAAATGCTGTTGGCATCCTCCTCTTTGACGGAGGAGGTCTAGGAAGCTGAGGTACTCTGGAAGAACAGGGAGACCACCAGGGCAGGTCTGGATGCCCTTCTGTCTGCCTCCCAAAGGCCATGTAGCCCCAGCTACAGGTGAGGGAGCTCCATGATATGTGACCAGGCTGCCTGTGGCATCTGGGCCAGCCTTGGTGTACTTGTTAAGCAAAATCAAAATTTCTGTCCCTTCCTGGTGAGGGGACCCCAGACACCTGGAGCTGTTCTGGAAAGATTGTCCTGGATTTTGGCTTCCCTGATCTCAGAGGCTCTTGTGTCTGATCCTACCCCAGATGATACCCACTCTGGAAGTCCCAAGATGATGCCCTCTTCCCATTGCGCTGCACGGCTCCAGCCCTCACCTGGCAGCGCACATCATGGGAGTCAGAGAGTGGTGGTGACACTCGGGGGACACCCGGCTCCTCCCTTACCTTCCTAGTGTGATCGGGCCACTGCCCTACCCTGGGCCCTTAACACTGGCCTAGAGCCAGGAAAGGCACCGGGCTTCATTCCAGGGGTCCCTTCTCCTGGGATGGGCCAAAGACCCGGTTTGGGGGCCGCTTTCGGGTCTCAAGCCTGTCCTGGGTCAGACTCAGGCCGGAGGGGAAGACAACTGCTCTTCTGCATGACAAAGGGTGGTCCAGCTGGAGAGCCGCGGAACACACCCACAGGTCTGGCAATCCACTATGGCTTTTCTCTTTAGCCCCTGACTGAGTTTGCTAGGATCCGCAAATAAAACCTCTAGATACTGGTGTAATGCAAATCACAGGTAAACAATGAATAATCTATTGGTGTAATCGCGTCACAAATCCAGACCTGGTTTTCTTTAGCAGCCCTACTCCTGGTGAGTTACTCAATTTTATTTCTCCTGTACAATTCTTCAACCAGCTCGCAAATCCACATTCAGATGTCCTGCCTGTGTCTTGGAGAAGGCTTAGCAGACTCTGAAGTGTAGCCACACACACCCTGACTACACTCCAGTCAGACGCACACACTGCATTGAGTCTATCTTGAAGCGTCTGGGTAGGACTTGGCAGAAAACAACTGGAGATATCCAAAGCACTGACTATGTAGGCACTGATCTTTTCAAGGCAGGGTTTCTCTGTGTAGTCCTGGCTGTTCTGGAACTCACTCTGTATACCAGGCTGGCCTCGCCTGCCTCTGCCTCGCGAGTGCTGGGATTAACGGTGTGCACCACTGGTCTTTATGTTGCTCCCTCTCGGAACCACTATCCTCTTGGCTTGAAATCTGGGAGGGGGTGGGCTTTCAACTCTGATTCCCATACGCCAAGGAAAGGAAAGGATGGGGCTCCTTACGGGCCAGTCCCAGGTTTCGTGGCCAAGGAAGGTCTCCCCAAAGTGGGCCAGGCTGGCTCTCGTCAGCCCCAGAAGTCTTTCGAACACCTGGCCAGGTGTACTGACAGGCACGCTGGTTGGAGAGGCAAGATGTTGATTGGAGTTTGGTTCTTTCCAGGGTTCAGAAACAGCAATGAACAACACTACAGGTGCACATTCCAGACACTGGGAACAGGCACCCAGCAGAGAACTCCACATCTCCAGGGCTCCTCCCAACCCGTGCTGGGGCTGCATTTAGGGTTTCATGTGTGCAGGGCAAGCCCTTCACCACTGAGCTATTACTGCTCCCACCCTGAATGTCTTAACTGGTCAGGCACCCTGAAGTCAAAGTTGAGGCATATGAATAACAGACGGCAGTGACCAGATGTTCTCAGTCCAGACAGGCCTTTGTGTCCTTTCTAGACAGCCCCTCCTCAGGGCTCAGTGGCTTGCTGTATGCTGAGCTCACAGGAGGTCCCAGGGGTGTGACCTCTCTCCTCCTTCTTTCCCACCCCCACCCCAGGGCCGCCTATAAAGTTGGCCAGCTCTCAGTAGACTCAAGACCCTTTCAGGACAACTCAGGGACATACATTCTCAGCACCTCTTGCTCCTGGGCGCTAACATGTGGCTCTGCTGGGCACTCTGGGCACTGTCCCTGGCTGACCCCGGGGCAGCTCTGACTGGAGAGCAGATCCTGGGCAGCCTACTGCAGCAGCTGCAGCTTAGTGAGCCACCTGTCCTGGACAAGGCCGATGTGGAGGGGTTGGTCATCCCCTCCCATGTGAGGGCCCAGTACGTCTCCCTGCTGCAGCACAGCCACAGCGGCCGCTCCCGAGGGAAAAGGTTCAGCCAGAACTTCAGAGGTGAGCCCTCCCACGCTGTCCCTGGTCTCTGGGAAAGGCAGGCTCACCAGGCCCTCCCTCCTGCGCTGTCAATGGGCCCTTGCTTTGTGGGGCTCAGAGTGGAAGTCTTGGGGTCACAGTCTGAGGGGGTTGTTAGAAAGAGCAGGTCTGACAGGGTGGCTGGTTCTGGGCGCTGGGGACCTGGCTGTGCATGTAAGAACCCTTGGGGATAGGAAAGGGGGGGCTGAGCTTGCTGCTAAATTCAGGACAGAGAGGAGGAGGAGGAGAATGGAGGAAAACAGGGTCCCAGGAGAAGTCCAGGCCACGTAGAGCTACCTGGGGTCACCACCCGGAAGAGTGGCTGACTATGTCTTGCCACCGACGGAGAACAGCTGACTGGGTAGAGGCAGCCCTGGGTAACAGAACGTTTGGAAGAGTGAGGACACAGATATCCAGCTGCCAGGATAGCAAGGGCCTGCATGGTAGGAGCACCACCTCCTCCAGCTGGAGAGCCCCGGGGCACAGCCACAGCCACAGCTTACTCTTCTATGGTACCCAGGCCTCGAGAGGTAAGGATGCTGTTTGTGAACAGGTGATAGAGATGACTGCCCAGGATAGGTGTGGCTGGCAGCTCAGGCGACCACCCTGCTGCCCTAGAGCCTTGGGAGTTAGGAAACACGTTGGCTGGTGCCATTTAGGAATGTGAGGATGTCCTTAGCATTTGTACCAGGGTTCGGCAGACCTGATAAAGATGTTCACAGGCTCGCCTGTTCCTCTCTCTTGTGCCGTTGAGCAGAGTCTCTCACAAGAGAGTCTGCCCATTATTATTATTATTATTACTATTACTATTATTATTATTTTCATTTTCTGAGACAGGGTTTCTCTGTGTAGCTTTGTAGACTAGGCTGGCCTGGAATTCACACAGATCCGCTTGCCTCTGCCTCCAGAGTGCTGGGATTAAAGGCATGCTCCATCACTGCCGGCTGAGAGTCTGCCCCGTAATAAAGTCACGTTCCACTTGTGAGCTAGGATTTCCATTCTCTGGCCTCTGGCCGTCTTTGTACTCCCCACCCTGCAACCCTCCCTGAAAGACCCGGCATTGCTGTGGTCCCACAGTCTCTTCCCTGCACAGGGTTCCAAAGCCACCACCAGGGGTGGAAGCTGATAATAAAAAAGACACAACCTCCACCGATTGTTTTAGCATTCAGGACCTCAATGCAGTTCATGATTCCTAGATAGGGAGAGGTACTTCTTTTTCACCGTGTGCCATGGGCCTTCTGCTCCCAGCTCTTCCCGTGGATTAGTAAGGAATCTTGGCCTTGAGTTTTGCCACCCACGAGGTTATCTGGTGCCAGTAGAGGCCGGGTTGACTCTGTCCATGTCCACAGAGGTGGCAGGCAGGTTCCTGGTGTCGGAGACCTCCACGCACTTGCTAGTGTTCGGCATGGAGCAGCGGCTGCCACCTAATAGCGAGCTGGTGCAGGCGGTGTTGCGGCTCTTCCAGGAGCCAGTCCCCAGAACTGCTCTCAGGAGGCAAAAGAGGCTGTCCCCTCATAGTGCCCGGGCTCGGGTCACCATTGAGTGGCTACGCTTCCTTGAAGACGGCTCCAACCGCACCGCCCTCATCGACTCCAGGTATTGGCTCCAGCCTCTCTCTCTCTCTCTCTCTCTCTCTCTCTCTCTCTCTCTCTCTCTCTCTCTCTCTCTCTCTCTCTCTCTCTCTCTGTCTGTCTGTCTGTGTGTGTGTGTGTGTGTGTGTGTGTGTGTGTATGTGTGTGTGTGTGTTGGGGGAATTAGGGAGAGCTCGGCTTGGCCCTGCTGGTAGAGGGGAGCTGAACAGGATGGGGTGGAGAGGGACGGGCCGGGAGACCCGTCCAGGACCTCTGCGATAGCCTGCTAGTCCCCTCGCCTGACGCGCAGCTGTGTTTCAGGCTCGTGTCCATCCACGAGAGCGGCTGGAAGGCCTTCGACGTGACCGAGGCTGTGAATTTCTGGCAGCAGCTGAACCGGCCAAGGCAGCCACTGCTGCTGCAGGTGTCGGTGCAGAGGGAGCACCTGGGCCCAGGGACCTGGAGCACGCACAAGTTGGTTCGCTTTGCAGAGCAAGGAACTCCGGGCAGAGAGGGGCGGGGCGAGCCACAGCTGGAGCTGCATACGCTGGACCTCAAGGATTACGGGTAGGCATTGTGGGTTAAACTGATAAGCGAAGTCGAGAGACAAATGTGGGATTTGACCTAACTGTGAAATGACAAAGTCTCAGAGTGTGAAAATATTTAGAATAATCCCTCTGTTAGGAAGTCCCCAGTAAATATTATTGATATTTTAGTTCTTAGCCTTCCATCCCCACATAAACGTCCAATTCTGTTGTTTCCTTTGCTGTGGCACTAGGGTTGGAACCCAGGACTTCACAATATTCCAGTGCTCTCCTATACTCTTTCTTCCTTTCTTCTTTTTTTTTGTTTTTCGAGACAGAGTTTCTCTGTATTGCTTTGGAGGTTGTCCTTGCTCTGTAGACCAGGTTGGTCTCAAACTCACAGAGATCCGCCTGCCTCTGCCTCCTCCAGTGCTAGGATTAATGGTGTGTGCGCCACCAATGCCCAGCTTTTTTTTTTTTTTTTTTTTTTTTTTTGACAGGGCTTCTCTGTATAGCCCTTGTCCTGGAACTCACTCTGTAGACCAGGCTGGCCTCGAACTGTTTTCTGAGTGCTGGGATCAAAGGCCTGTGCCACTACTGCCCAGTCCAGTGGTGAGCTGGATCTTAAGTTTTCCTCCCAGATGCCCTGATTTTAGCCTTCTCTGCTGACATCTGATCTCTCATTCCCACAGAGCTCAAGGCAATTGTAACCCTGAGACCCCAGTGACTGAAGGCACCCGATGCTGTCGCCAAGAGATGTACCTTGACCTGCAGGGGATGAAGTGGGCAGAGAACTGGATCCTTGAACCCCCAGGGTTCCTGGTCTATGAGTGTGTGGGCAGCTGCCTGCAGCTGCCAGAGTCCCTGACCATCAAGTGGCCGTTTCTGGGGCCGCGGCAGTGTGTTGCCTCGGAGATGACCTCCCTGCCCGTGATTGTCAGCATGAAGGAGGGAGGCAGGACCAGACCTCAGGTGGTCAGCCTGCCCAACATGAGGGTGCAGACATGTAGCTGTGCCTCGGATGGGGCGCTCATACCCAGGAGGCTGGAGCCATAGACACAGACTGTGGCCTCTCCAAGGCTGTGACTTTTGTGTATGTCTATTGTTCCAGCAGAGATGGGGATTATGAATCCCCGATGGGCTAATGCCCCGTCTGTGCTCTTTGCTGAGCTCTGCGTTTGCTTCCTCTGAACCAGCCTTATCCCCTTCAAGGAATGTGACTCACTGGCCACTAGGGGGCCCTACCTAGTCGTCTCTGTTCTTAAAATTGTTCCCTGCACTATATGTTAAAATGTTAAAGCACTTAACATGTATAGTTACTGTCCCTGTCACTGGATCTGGGCTGAGCCCCAGGTTTGATGTTGGACCTAAGACACAAGTGTATCAAACATGCTCAACCTAGGTAATATGGACTTTGCTAGATGTGAATAAAATATGTTTTGTTCTATAACTTTAGTTGTTTGGTTTTTTTTTTTTTTTGATAAAGGACAGAGGCAGGCAGATCTCTGAGTTTGAGTCCAGCCTGTTCTACAGAGCCAGTTCCAAGATAGCCAAGGCTACACAGAGAAACCCTGTCTTAAGATAAACAAAAACAAAGTCATTCATAATTCTAGCATGACTAGCATCAGCATCTCTAGCCTGGCAGGGTCCAAGTTTGCAGAGACTTTGAAGAAAAAAGCGATGCAGAGTCTCAGCCCAGGGAAAGGACCGCTTAGTCTCCTCGCCAGTCTGCACGGCTGTTGGCTAAGAATTTGGTATCCTCTAGTCTGTGCCCTAAACCCTCTCATCTTGATCCACGAAACAGGAGCAACCCCTAACTTCCACAGTTGTGGTTTAAGGAACCAGTGATTTAATAATTACTTCACACACTGACTGGTGCATCCAGGCTAGTCCAGCTCATACCGTGGATTTATTTAGTTAGACAGGGTCTCACTATGAATGTTTTTTATTTTGTTATTATTACTTCTTTGAGACAAAGTGTTGTGTAGCTTAGGATGGCCTCCAACGCCATATGTAGTTAAAGATGACCTTAAATATTTTTAAATTTAAATTGTGTGTGTGTGTGTGTGTGTGTGTGTGTGTGTGTGTGTGTGTGAGAGAGAGAGAGAGAGAGAGAGAGAGAGAGAGAGAGAGAGAGAGAGAGGTTGTGGGAGTACCAGCCAGCATGTGCTGTGAAGTCAGAGGGCAGCTTTTGGGAGTTGGTTCCCTTCTTCAGCAGTAGGTTCTGGGGGTCAGACTCAGCTAGGCAGGCTTCATGGGAAGCGCCCTTACTCCCATCGCATTGGCCTAACCTTGAACTTGAGTGCTGTGATTGCAGGCTTGTACCACCATGACTGGCTTACGATGTTCTCGGGATCAAATGTAGGCTTCACGCACTTACCCAAGCACTCTGCCAACTTGAGCTACATCTCTAGCTCCTAGCTTATTGCTTTTGTTACATTTTGTCAACTCACACTCTGACCATCACACCACAGGCTTCTCTGGACTTTGAGACAACAGTCACCTGAAGAGCAGCCGTAGGAAACCTTTCCTTCCGTTATCAAGGGTCCCAAGCTGCTCTCTTCTTTGGTAGTGGTGCCACCATTCTAATATGACTGGGGCTAGACCCCAGGACACAGGCCAGGCAGGTGTCAGCATCACCAACAAAGGCTGGAATTGTGTGGAGCAGGAGCAGGGAGAACAGAGAGAAGCGATCTGAGGAGCCAGGGGAATAACCAGGGGGCCACTACAACCAGGGATCTAGAGAAGCCAGCTAGCTGTGGGGTCCTTAACAAGGGCAGTAGCAGAGCTAAGGGAAGACAAGACAGAGGAAAGTTCTGGGAAATAACTGCTAGCTAGGTGCTTAGCATGGTAGTCAGACAGGAGAACCCGGAGAGGAAAGTGACGCCCTGTTTCAGATAGCCACAGGCTAGAATCAGGGACAGGGAGGCTGCGAGGATATTTTTATCTTTACAGTAAAAGATGAAAGCTCAGACACGGAAGTGGGGTCAGAGAAGGGGCAAAGCTGTGCCTTGGGGACGAGGAGCTGCTCAGGCATGAAGCTCGTTAGTGCCTGCAAGGACTGCGCAGCAAGCTTCGGTTCCACCCGTTTCCTTGTGGAAACTGAGGCCTGAAAGTGGGTAGCTTGCAGCACTGGCCCTGCCACAGTTCCGCAGTTCTTACTCCATTCCCCTAGCTCATCCAGCGACGGTCCTGCCCTGGGCGAGGGGCGCAGAGCAGGGGCAGCGGCCTCGGGTTCGCTGGAAACCTCCAAGTCCCAGCCAGAGCTCACCGAATGCTCAGCGTGTTTGGCCCCAGTTGACAATGTTAGTGGCCCGGGCCGGAGCAGTGACGTGTGGTCCCAGAGAACGCTAGCAATGCTGTACTTTATTTAGGGCAGGACAGTGCTTTGGAACTTTCAAGGTCCCGGCTCCTTACCGCGGCGGGCCTCTCTGTGGCTACAGACGGCTGGGGGCGGGGGAGGTCTACCGTGCTCCGTGCTTCCCCGCACTGCGCCCCAACTGGGCCAGCTTATGAAGTTCCTGGGGACATTCAATCCCACATCACGAACGTTTGCAGATACTCTCCAGCGCCGCGGCCATCCTAGGTTTGGCCCAGTGTCCTCTCATTGGGGATGTACGGGGACACAAAGGAAAGACAGTCCGGAGACGTCCTCTCCCGGCCTTGTGGGCCTTAGCCGGTCTGATCCCGCGCGTAGACCTCGGCGACGACGGCCACGCGTGGACCAGGGTTAGAGAGCCACAGACGGGCTCACTGCCCAGCACGCAGTCTTCGCGGTCCAGCTGGCGCCGGCGCGGGCGAAGAGTCCAAATAAGGTAAGGCGCGGATGCAGCTCTGCGCATGTGCAAGTGTCACCGGAGTTTCACTTTGTAACTTTTAAGTGGTGGGGACGCTGCCCCGCCCCACCAGGTGCGGCCAGACCACTCCCCGGCGCGCCGGGCGCGCCACCGCCGCCGCCGCAGGTAAAGTGGGAAGGGGAGCCGAGCAGGGGGAGGTCGCGCCGGCCGGGGTCCACACGGGGCTGTACGCCTCGGGTCGCCTTCCCTGGCGGCTGTCGGGGTGACAGTAGCCGAGTAGGTGGCTAGCGGGTGCCAATCAAACCCCGTGCTGCTGGGACTTCCTGACAGCCCTTGGCTGCGTGGCGGATCCTTCCCTCCCTGCTCCTCTGCGGGCTTTGGAGTTTGTCTGTGGCGTCCGATCTCCTCGCCTGACTCCGAGCCCTCTCCAGTTCCTTACGAGCCTAGACCCAGCTAGAGGGGCTTTGAACCTTTCGGTGACCACTCCTGCCCTGGTAGCATCCAGTGGAGGAAACCTGGGGACTTGGAGAAGGGCGGGGGAAGGGGCATGGGGAGAGCCGCGAGAGCTGCGACGGTAAAGAAACCACATCCGACAACTTATCCAGGGACCTGATAAGCCAGGCTACCTGAGACCACGGGTGGGGTGGAGTTGCTGTCTTTCAGCCCCAAGCAGGGACCAGCAGCTATAGGGACTTTTGTAAAAGACCTGGGAACACATATTTCTCTGTCTTGAAGCTCTCTGGTTGGGTCCCAGGGCCTGCCCTGTGGGTTTTTTTGTTTTTTTTGGAAATGAGATGGCTTAATACTGAGCATTTGCGTGACTGTTGCTAAGGGTGTGCTCCTAGGCAGGGCTCCTGAGGCCACAGTGACTAATTTTTTTAAGACCCCCTCCCCCGCCCTCTCATAGAGATGGAGTTGGAACACAGGTCTTGCTGCACATCCTAGGCATGCCCTTTGCTCGGAGCCGCACATCCTCGCTCTTAGGGGCTGGCTTGACTTCTTCCCCACCCCCAGAGTCTTCTCAGCTTGGCCTGGCTGCCTCGGGATGGGTGGGCTCCCACCGGCCCTCTTAGAGTGAGTTCCTTTGGGAAGCCGAGGAACCCTTGACTCTTTGAGAGCCTAGGGAATGGTCCAGGAGCAGCCTCTGACTTGGGACAGGTTCCCCTGGCTGGAAGAGCTGAGGGTCTGAGACTGTGGGCCTCAAGGTGGCCTTCACTTGGTTCCCCCTCTTTTCATTTTCCAAGCCTTCCTTGTTTGCTTTGCTGCATTTGATCCCCCTGAGTCTAGCCCTTGAGGGACACTGAGGCACAGCAGCCGCCCTTGGTGTCTGGGTGAGGCAGAGCGGCCACCTGGCTGAGGAAAAGGATCTGGCCTGTTGCCCAGGCTATCCCTCCTGCTGGCTCACCTCTCTGTTCTTTCCTTTGTTTTATTTCTGAGTCAGAGTCTTACCGTGTAGCCCTCCATGGCCTCGAACTCCCAGAGATCCACCTGCCTCTGCCTCCTGATGTTGGGATTAAATGGGTGTACTACCACATCCGCATTCCCTTCGTTCTTACCAAACTGTAAATCCTTCTGGGAAATGCGCTCTGCAGGAGAAAAACGACCAGAAGTGTGTCTGGGCTATTAGGGAAGGGAGCACCAGGTGCTGTCCTGGGGTCAAGGCCTCTCCTTCTCCAGGCCTCTGAGTCAGTGACTCTCGTGGGCCTCCCTTCCCACCCCCAGATGCACCACAGCTCCTCCCTTCCTCGGACAATGTCCCTCTGTGAGCATTTATGAGGATATTTTTCGTTTTCTCTGTCCAAGCCGTTCTTGTTTGCTCTGTGGAGTTTCCCTTTCCCTCATTCTAGCCTTAGGGGACCTTGGGGTGTGTGGGTGCTGCAGAAGCCCTCCGGGCTGTATGAGGATTTGGCTTGGAATGGATGCCACCTGTAGCCCACAGCCCCTGTGCAATTGTGGGGGAGAGGCCCTCCTGAGTTAGCATGAAGCTGGAGCCGCGGGTGCTGCTGGGTAAAGGGAGGAGTGGGGTAGCACAGAGGCTCGCTGGAGCTGGTGGAGATCTTGTTCTGGGAGCTTAGGTGAAGAGCCAGGCAGGAGGAAAGCCACCGGGAAAAGCCAGAGAGTGGGCATGTGTGCTGGGAGACATTTGGGCAGGAGCAGGGTGCGAAAGGACTTCTGTTCTGAACTCCTAAACTGGAAGAGGGTGGCCCCCCTGTGACTTATGTGACACGGGGGGGGGGGCAGGGGGGTTGCATCTGTGTTGCTACAGGACAGTTTGTGAAGGTTGGTGTTGCAGAGGGCAGGTCACAGTGGACAGCCCAGCAGGAAGTAAGAAGTAGGCCAGAGGCCTGACTCACTGAAACTGGGGAACTGTGGGGGGGCTGATCCAATGAGAACCTCTTCGCAGTCCTTCCTCCTACAGGATGGTGACCAGAAGGCCTTGCATCACCAGGCAGGGGTATTTCGATGTCCTGGTGATTTTTTTCCTTTGAAACAGCCTTGTGTGGAGATTTCCATCATGCCAGGGGTGTGTGAACCTCAGGGGGTGTCAGCACTGATCCCGGAGCCGTCTGCTGGCCTGGGCTCCCATTGCGGTCAAGACTGCCCTGGAATCCCATCCTCCTATTTCTCCTTGAGTGCTGGGGCCGCAGGCCTTAGGAGACCAATCCTCCTTGCTCCTCTGGGTGAGGTTAAAGGGGACAAACAGGAGCTTCAGCTTCAAGGTGGAGATGACATTCAGGACCGCTCACAGCCACTAACCGTGGCTACAGCACCACACACTTCTTCCTCCAGACACTGCAATCCCTTACAGGAGGAGGACGCCATCCAATCTCTTAGGCCTGACTACTCCCTCCCAGCCTTTCCTCACTTCCTATCAGGCTCACTGCACTGTGTGCCTGTGCGTGTGTGAGTGCGTGTGCGTGAGTGCATGTGAGTGTGTGTGAGTGCGTGTGTGTGCGTGTGCATGCGTGTGTGCATGCATGCATGTGTGTGTGTGTGTTTGTGTGTGTGTGTGTTCCCTAGCACAGCAGTGTCAGGAGTGAGAATTGAGATGCTCCCCACCATGACCCAGAACCCTTTAGCACTCTAGGTAGTTCAGACATGGGCTTCAGTTCTCTATAACCCCTTTTCTTGTCCTCAATGCTTGAGTCTCTCTAGCAGGTAGAAGAACCAGATTCTGAGGAAGTCCTCTGGGAACTGCAATTTCAGCAGATTTGGGGAGCCTAAAGAGGGAGGTGCTTTCTTAAGACTCTCCCCTCATAGATGATGTGGAGAACAGGCCAGAGCCAGGGCACCAAAGTCCCCAGGCTTTAGTGCCAGGGGACAAGTGATAGAGATTTCCATTAGATTTGCCAGGGCTTCCAGGAGCCTTCAGGTCAGCACCCAGCTTGCAGCTGTGTCTGTATGAGCCTTCTGTTAAGAGGGGAGGTGCAGACAGAAGAGGGCGGAGTTAGGGGCCGGCTTTGCCCTGAGCCTCACCCATGCCCGTGGGAGCGCCTAGGCCTTTCCTCTCTGGCTGACCCTCCTGCTTTTGCCTCTCTCAGGGAAGCACCGTGTGATGGCAGTTACAGAGTGGGTAGTCAGGGTTTGAGGCACAATCCTGACGCGCCCAGCCTTCTCGGTTTGGGAGATAGATGGTCATTAAGTTTCTGAAACTTGGATTCCAAGTCCAACCAGCCTTGGGGCCCAGCTCTCACTCTGACTAGCTGGAGGGGGCTCTTGTCCTTGGCTCAGATGGGCCAACACTGTTCCTGGCTGTTTCCATCCCAGTTTGCTGGTGTCTGAGGTTTCCTCTTCCCAGCCTTTGTGGTCCTCTCTCCTCTTTCCTGCCTGGGGTGTCCGAGAACTCTTGCAGGAGTTATTTTCCCAGTGGTCCTTGAGACTAGAGGGACTGGAGCACCTCTTCAGTTACTGCGCTGGCTACTTCTGACCACCCCCATCCCTTTACCTCATTTACCCCCTTTTGGGGCATTTGCTCATTGTGTCCCTGGGTGGGTCATCTAGTCTGACCATCTGGGCTGTTCCCATAAAGGGAGCTAGTCTCTGTGGACTCTACCAGGCACAGAGGGACGGATGGTGTTCAGTTTTCCTGGCTCTGTGCTGAGGGTCTCGGCTGCTCTAGCTGCATGGGGTGGGGGTGGGGACTGACTCTTACCTTTGCCTATGGCAGCACTGGCTGGGGAAACTGAAAGTTGCCATGCTGATCATATACTTCTTGTTCCCTAGGGAGAGAAGCCATGATGACCAGCTCCCCATTCCTGGATCCCTGGCAGTCCAAGGCCGTGTCCATCCGTGGGAGCCTGGGCCTTGGGGACCATCCCAATGACTCCTACTGCTACAGCTCAGCCAAAAACAGCACTGTACTTCAGGGGGTCACCTTCGGAGGTGTCCCCACTGTCCTGCTCATAGATGTCATCTGCTTTCTGGTAAGACCCTCTCTCAGTTTAACCCCTTGTTCTCTAGGACCATCTCCGAAATGTATGTGAGGTAGATACATACACCTGTCCGTGCTCTGCAACCCTGGATGTGAGGTAAACTAGACCTTGAGTTTTGGAACCACTGTAATGATTCCTTCCTCAGAAGACTTGGGCCTTGTGTGCCGTATGATCCTGATCCTGATTACAGAGCCACTGGCCAGTCCTGCCTTGCTTTACCGACCCTCAGGGTGGGCGGCATGAGAGATGTGAGGGTGTGGACCAGAGTTGGAGCAGGCGCAACTTGTAGTGTGGGAGCAGGTCCTTCCTGTTACCCTGGTGCCTGGGACTTTTGAGAATCAGAGATAGATTTCCTAGAGCTGACCTGAGGGGATTTGTGTTCCTTTCTTTTTCCTTCCTTCCTTCCTTCTTTCCTTCCCTTTCTTCCCTTTCTTTCCTTTCTTTCTTTCTTTCTTTCTTTCTTTCTTTCTTTCTTTCTTTCTTTCTTTCTTTCTTTCTTTCTTTCTTTCTTTCTTTCTTTCTTTCTTTCCTCTGATTTTTCAAGACAGGGTTTCTTGTGTAGCTTTGGAGCCTGTCCTGGAACTTGCTTTGTAGACCAGGCTGACCTAGAACTCACAGTGGTCTACCTGCCTCTGCCTCCCAGATGCTGGGGTTAAAGGTGTGACCACCACTGTCCGGCACATGTCCCTTTCTTTAATGTCACAAAGATTCCTCCAATTTGAAGCAGATGTTATTATCTTTGCACTGACTCAACCATGGTTGAAGGTGTGTGTGTGTGTGTGTGTGTGTGTGTGTGTGTGTGTGTGTGTGTATGTGTTTGCTTTAGGGGTGGACCCCAGGGACTTGTGTATACTCCACAGGTACTTTCCTACTGATCCACATCCCAGACTGATTATTTTAGAGTTATTGTTTTGCTTTGTTTTTGAGACAGGGTTCCTCTGTATTGCTTTGGAGGTTGTCCTGAACTCATTTTGTAGACCAGGATGGTCTTAACTCAAGAGATCTGCCTGCCTCTGCTTCCAGAGTGCACCAATGCAGGGCGGTTTAGAGTTATTGGGGTTAACATGCAACTGTCTTTTCACTAACATCCAAGGGCTACATTTTGCTCTTAAAATTTGCTACATTGTTGCTCATCGGGACTGATGGGGAAACTGCCTGTTACCCACCCGGGATTTCCCAGGAAAGGGATCTTTCCCACGAATGAACCTTCTCAGCACCATCCTATCGGTAGCAGAACAGTTCTCCATGCTTGTGGGCCTTGGCTAAGAGGGAGGAGCAGGCACGATGTTGCAGTATACTGACAGGGGGTGGGATCCTATGCCTTCAGGATGAGGAGAGCTAGGCTAAGGTCTGGAGAAAACTCTGTAGAGCCCAGGCAGGTTAGGTAGCTGCTTAGGAAGAAAGTCACATTCATTTAGATTGTGCTGGTAGGGTGATTTTTTTTCTTTGTTTTTACAAGAGGTACAGGATCTCACTATGTTGCTGAAGTGATCTCTGAGCTCCAGCAAGCAATCCTCCTACCTCAGCTACTCAAATAGGTTGTATAGGAGTATACAACCACATGGATTTTTTTCCCAAGACAGGGTATCTCTATGTAGCCCTGGCTGTCCTGGAACTCACTTTGTAGATCAGACTGGGTTCAAACTCAGAGATCCACCCGACTCTGCCCGGGATTAAAGGCATGTGCCACCACCGCCTGGCTAGGAGTGTAGATTTTTATTGCAGAAATTTGAGGTCAAATGTGGGATATGTCCAAGTCAGAGGGTCCTAGAAGACCTAGGTGTGGGAGGGTGTCCACACTGTGTGCACAGAGGCAAGGAGCAGTGACAGCGGGTGACCGCATGCTGAGGGGCTTGTGACTCATCTGCCTTTGAAAACACGTCATGTATGTCTGGACTTACCTCAAGAAAACCTCATAGAAACTCAGGGCTTTTGGATTTCCCTAAAGGAAGCAGTATTCACCCTTAAAACCCAATTTCTAGGTAGGGACTGTGCTCAATGGTAGAGTACTGACCTAGTTCATCTAAGGTACCAGGTTCCATCCCAGCACTAAATAAACACATGCATAAATAAATAAATCCAGTTTTTGACCCGAGCAGACAAGCCTGTGCTATTTGAGATGTTTTTCTTCCCCGTCTCTGAATCTCAAAGGAGCCTGTGTAGGTTGGGGGCCGGAGGAGAGCTGGCCAAGGAGGACATAAAGAGTCTGGGGCGGGGGCAGGTGAGCATCTCGGATATCTGGAGCTAATAAGCAGGGAGGGTCCTCACTCTCCAGGACTGCTGGTGTCACAGAGGGCTGTCCCAGTTCTGGGGCTGGGCCAGCCGAGAGTGGTAGGGCATGACGGGTTTCACTGGATGCACTTGCTGTGTGGAGTCTGCAAGCTTGCCTTTAGAAGAAACAAATGCAAAGAATCTGAATCAAAATAAATGAAAATATAATTAAGAAAAATCAAACCAGGTGCATACCTGTAGTTCCAGCTGCCGCTGGCTGAGCCTGGAGGATCACTTGAACTCAGGAGTTAGAGGCAAGTCTGGGCAATCTAGTTAGGGCTTGTCTCTAAGAACAAGGTTTGGGTGTGAAGTAAATTGGAGAGCGGTTTTTCCAATCTGGTGAGGTCACACCTCACCTTCTGACTTTGGGGCTGCAATGGCTGATGTACTTGAGCAGGAAGACTCTACTCAAGCCTGTGGCAGTGTGACAACTTTGGTGACGTGGCACAGGTGATGAAGGTTGTCCAAGGAGGAAGGTGTCAGGCGGCTAAGCTGTGTGTTTTCTGGGTTGGATGGGTTCCTTTGACCTCCAGAGCATGGCCAATGTTCTTTGACTTGTTTTTTTTTTCTCCTTTTAGTTTTTAGTCCTTGTATTTTCCATCATAAGGAGAAGATTCTGGGATTATGGCCGCATAGCACTGGTATCAGAAGCAGGCAGGTAAACAAAACAAAACAGTTAATCGAGCATGTGACCGTGTCTATGCACCCTCTGAATGTGAGTGATATGTGTAGATATGTGTGCACTGTGCATACATGTGTGTATGTAGATGCATGTTTACTTATATGTGTGTATGCATATGTGTATTATGTTTATGTATGTGTGGTGGGATGGGCGGGAGCCAGAAGCCTTATCTTCCTTTCTGCTGGTCACAAAGGCCCCTTTGAGGTCTTCCTGCTTAGAACTGTGCTCAAGGAAACCAGTGCTGGAGAGCCTCTCTCCTGGGGCTCTGATTTCAGGCTGTCCAGGATCACCATTGCCTTGAGGGTTTCTGTCACCAGGGGAGGCAGGTAGCATTTTCTTTCTTACCTCAGACACAGCTCCCTGAGAATATCCTATTTGAGGTTAATCACCTTGCTCTGGGGCAGCCTTAGTGGTCATGAAGAAAGGCAGGTGTGGGGAAGCAGCCCGCCCTCCTTCCTGGTCAGGGCTCAAGTTGGACAAACAAAACACAGGCTCTCTGGCCAGAACTCAGGCCTTTCCTGCTCTGCCCTGGGTGGGGACAGCTGTGTGCATCTTATTAAAGGGGAAGATGAATCCTAGAACTAGACTTTCCTGTTGGGGCTGGTTGCTATGAACCTCTGGAACGTGTGTCAGATGAGACAGCGTGAAGTGAATGGGAGACCCTCCATTCTCAGGTCTATCCGGGTGGCCCATGGTCCCATGGCCATTGCTTCAGCTTCTGAAATGTTGCAGAGGTGGGTGGGGGAGGAAGGGACATTTAGAGAGGTGCTTCCTTTCCCCCAGAAGATCCCTTCAGCAACTCACTCAGCTTGGGCCTGAGCATGAAGGTCCTTACCTCAGCACTCCGGAGAGGCTGTGAGAAGTAACTTGTGTGGGAATGGTTTGCTTCCCAACCCTAAGGATGCGTCCTTTCCCTGAGTGCTGTTTTCTTCCCTCCGTGTCACAGAACCGGGGCGGGGCATCTCATTCCCGGACAAGGGGTCTTGGAGGACACTTTGAGACAAATATGTTTGGGTTTGAAATGCCTCGAGGGATGGGGTGAGCAATCCCACTTCCAGGGCCAGCTCTTCAGTGAGCTCAGACAATTCAGTGTAACATAGTATACACCTTGGCCAAAGCGCTGAGCTCCAGGTTCATCAAGAGATGCTCTCAAAACATAAGATGAAGGGAGATTAAGGGAGATGCCAAGTGTTGGCCCCTGGTCACCACATGTATCTGCACCTTAGTGTGTGCGCACGCATGTGCACACACACACACACACAGACACAGGTATACACTTGCAGGTCACCGTATTTAACACACTAGTTCATCCACTCTGAGATGCATACACTTGAGCATTTCTTACCTTTGACTTTAGAATTGGGATGCCTCTTTTTTTTTTTTTTGAGAAAATGTTTCCTATGTCCTGACTTCAAAGGTTGGCCTTCTTTGAACTTGGGATCCTCCTGCCTCAGCCTTCAAGTGAGTACTGGGATAATTGCAGGTGTCCCCTACTATGCCCAACATGAGATTATCAGTTATAGCTTAATGGGCACCATTATTTCTTTCTTAATGATTCATTAAAAGAATTATGTACCTGTCCACCACTGGTATCTTGGATTAGATAAAATGCAGAAATGTAATGTACATGCATACACACGTGAATTTTGGTTTTTACAATTTTTATCCTATGTGTATGGGTGTTTTGCATGCATACGTGCTTGGTGCATACAGAGGAAAAAGGATATCCAGTGCTGAGATTGCAGGGTGTACACGCAGGGGTAGTTCCTTGAGGCACCCTGGCCCTGTGCTGTTCAACCTGTACAACACAGTTTTATACCATGTGGGTTTGTGGGCATTGCTTCCATCTTTTTTTTTTTTTTGGAGCAGTTTATAGTTGTTGCAACTTTTAAGAGTCAATAGCTTTGATCCTGAACCCTAAGATTAGGAAGCAAAATACTGGAAATGCATATTTCCTTTTTGAATTTTATAATTATTTATCTTTTCTTTTTCTTTCATGTCTCCAGTGAAGCCAGATTCCAGAGGTCATCATCTTCTTCCTCAGGGCAACAAGACTTTGAAAATGAACTGGTTGGTATCCAAGGGATGGTTGTTTTTGTGGCCCGAAGGGCAGCGGGCACAGCCTGGCAGTAATGATTGATGGAGGACAGTTGTACTCCAGTTCAGTGACTAACAGCAGCACTGTGATCTGTGAGTGGTCAGCTCTAGAGAAAGCTCCCTCCCACCGAACAGAAACACGAGGACTTGGAGAACCTGGAAGGAGACAGAGTTTAAGTGATCCCTCACTGCAAGGCTCCATGAACTGCAGGCGGGAAGGGCTGTGGATCCCCAGAACTTTGCCAGCAACTTGACTGTGGCGCATGAGTCCCTCCTCTCTCACACTTACGGTTCTTGTGTAACAGTTAATTATTGACTCGTCTGCTAGATTTTGAGCCAAATGTGGACAGGAACCCTACCTCACACAGCCTTGTGCCCCACCACTAGGTATCTGGTAGGTACTTAGTCATTGTTGAATGAGTGATGAACAAATATTTGTGTTCCCAGCTGCTAGCCTCCTGGTTTTTATGGAGCAGTGAAACACAAGAGATCACAGAACTGACACACACTCTTTTCCTCTCCAGGGCCGGCTCTAGGGTACTTTCCAATTCTCAAGACTTGTTCCTGTTTTTTTTTTTTTTGTTTTTTTTTTTGCCTAGTCTTCTTGCCATTTGGAAACAATTTAATGGTTTCGATTTGACCCTGGAGCTTACATAATGCCACTGCTTGACAAAACTTGAGAGGTTTTTAGCAAGGTTGTGTCTTTTTTTTTTTAAATCCCTTCCCTCCATGGGGTTGTGCCGTGCAAAGAATGAGAGCATAAGGGAGTAACTCACCGAATGTGAGAAAGAAAATCCTGTTTTACACAGCAAGACGTGGGATGGTTATTTAATCTCACCGATGTGATTGTATCTGCTTCCCAAAGACATGGGTATTGGATGCTAACGCCTGCTCTCTGTCTCCAGGGATGCTGCCCTTGGCTGACTGCCATCTTCCGCCTGCAGTGAGTAAGATAGGGGTGTCTGCTGGGGCATGTGGTTTTGTGTGGGTGTTTGTTCATTCAGAGGGAAGTAGCTGAGATGTTTGATCCTGTGATGGTGTCTCCCATACTTTTCCAGCTCAGGACCCAAACAGTGTATAGGGGTTAGAACAAAAGTGGCCTGAAGTCCCTGTAGTCAGGACACAGGGAAGAAGGAGGTCTTTCAGGTACATAGCCCTACTGGCACTCAGGGATCCCCAAACTGCAGTTGGATTTCAAAGGTTCTTGAAGCTAGTGGCAAACTTTATTTAAAAATATTTCATGCTGGAGAGATGGCTCAGGGGTTAAGATCAGTAGCTGCTCTTCCAGAGGACCCAGGTTGGATTCCCAGCATGCACACAACTGCTCACAGCTGTCTGTGACTCCAGTTCCAGGAGATACGGTAACCTCACAGACACACATGCAGGCTTCTCCACCTGACCTTGGGCACAACTTCCATCAAACAGGGTCTTGCACATATTAGTTCATTGGAATTGGCCTGGCCTCCTCCATAGCTTTTTATAGTCTTTCATCAGTTCTAAGATGGCCTTTTCTCGGAACTCATGCCAATAACATTGCCTTTACAAATCATGTGGTCCTAAAACCTGCTATACAGTTTTTCTGTGCCTTTGTATCCACACGTCAAAGTAAAACATGTGGGCTAAAACACTGGTCTTCTACTGCTACCTGTTAAGAATGTGTCTACGTGTGTGTCTTGGCCAGTGACGACCAGATCCTGGAGTGGTGTGGCGAGGACGCCATCCACTACCTGTCCTTCCAGAGACACATCATCTTCCTGCTGGTGGTGGTCAGCTTCTTGTCCCTGTGTGTCATCTTGCCTGTCAACCTCTCAGGAGACTTGCTGGGTGAGACCCTTTCTTGGCCATTGTCTGGGTTGGAATGGAGCGGGGTAGGGGGAGAGCAGTGGTCATAGGGAAGGGATTCTGTAGAGTAGAGCTGGGGGACGTGAGACAGACTTTGAGAAAATTATCATCCAGATAAAGATGTAGAGCAGATCCATCCAAATCTGGGCTGGGAACTAAGGCCCCTTAAATCCAAGCATGGAAAAAAAACAACAACTAACCAAACAACCAATCAGGCAACCATACATCCATCTATCCATCCATCCATCCATCCATCCATCCAGCCAGCCAGCCAGCCAACCAACCAACCAACCACAAGTGCTATAGAATTGGGAGGTTTCAGCAGGTGTGTTTTTGCTTGTTTTTGCAGACAAGCTCCTACAATGTAGTCCAGGCTAGTCTTTCCTTACCTTCCTGAGTGTTGGGATTATAAGTATAGCCATCACTCCCAGCTTCAGACTGTATCTTTCAATTTCCTACCCTTACTCAAGCCTGGAGGCCACTATTCATGAACCCAGATGATGTCTGTGATAGACAGTCAAAGTCATTGTGGAATTACACTCTATTGCTTCCAAAATCCCAGCCCAGATCCACTTGTGACATCTGATGGTTCTCAACCATGAGAGCCTTGAGTTGGTAGCAACCAAGGGTGCTTCTAGTTATAATCAAAGTATCTTTAAAACAAACCTCAGTGCAAAATGAACTTTCATTATGACTTTGCTGGCATGGTAAGCTGTAGCAGAGGTCCTGGTTGATGGAGCTTTAAATAGGTCGACAAATTGTCATCACCAACAGTTGTCAACAATTGTCAAGGAAGACAAGCCATGTCTAGGCATCCCTGGGCTATAGAACTCTAAATCAAGGTCAGTTAGGTCACTTCCCAGGTTCTCATTGTGGCCCTGGAACCAAGCGTCTGTTTCTCTGCAGATAAAGACCCTTACAGCTTTGGGAGGACAACAATAGCAAACCTGCAGACCAAGTGAGTATGGAGCTTGCGGACCACAAAGGAGGCTGATTTGGGAGACTAGAGCAGGCTGGAAACACACCAAAGCTGCTGTGTTGCTGGGCTGTGGTACGAACATGTCCTGGGAAGCTTCAGTTTTGTAGGAGTCGTAGAGCCCAGTGTAAGAATTGGGATCTCTCCAAAGTGTTCACTTGCTGATGAGGGCCATTGACCATATGGCCTCTGCTGGAGGCAAAGCTATTGGCCTTGGCAAAGCTCCCATTGAGGGTTATCCCACCCCAGCCCTGTAACTCATCCCTTGTGTTGAGATGCCCACCCCTGACAGCAGGTGATATCTTCCTTAGCAATGACCTCCTTTGGCTGCACACCGTCTTCTCCGTCATCTACCTCCTCCTCACTGTGGCCTTTATGTGGCACCACACACGGTCCATCAGATACAAAGAAGAGAGCCTGGTGAGTAAGGCTGGGGCCTGGGACATGTTCTGGGAGGGTCTCAAGTGAGAGATGGAGGGGGCAGCCCCCACGGTCTGCACAGGGCCATGTCAGTAGTGCACTTGAGGGCGGTCTGGGGACCTGGTTTCTGTGTTTATGCCCTCCACTGCCACTGCCGCCACCATCCTGTTGTCACCGCCACCATCCTGTTGTCACCGCCGCCACAGCCACCACCACTACCATCTACCACTATGTTTTTAAAGACAGGGTCTTGTGTAGGTCAGACTGACTTTGAGCTAGCTATGCAGCCAAAGACTTACCATCATCCTGCCTCCACCTCCCAAATGTTAGGAATAGAGGCATGCATCGACACTCTCAATTTACGATTGTTATTGTTTAATTTACTGGTAAGCTGTTCTTTGGACATTCTCCTTCGCTTTGCCAGTTGTTATTTGGTCTGCGGGGTCAGGGCTTATAGCTACTGCTATGAAGTAAAGAAGTGCGTTGAGGACTGAGTGTGAACCTGTGGTAGAATGTTTGCCCGGTATGTGCCAGACGCTGGGTTTGGTAACCTAGCATGACCAGACAAAAATAAAACACCCTTTCCGTTTTAGTTTCCTTTGTTACCATGGTAAATGCCAAGCAACTGAGTTGAAGGGAAAAGTTTATTCAAGTTTATACTTCCAGAACACAGTCTGTCATCAAGGGAAGTCTTGGCAGGAACTGAAACAGGAACTCTGGAAGAATACTGCTTACTGGCTCACTCCCAGGTCTAGTCTTCTAAGACAGTTCAGGACCACTTGCTTAGGGATAGTGCCACCCATGGTAGGCTGGACCCTCTGTTACCCATCATCTCTCATGACAGTCTCGCACAGATGTGGTCACAGACCAATCTGATTTGTGTGATTGTAACACAAATTAATAAAGGACCCAGGACTGATATTGGGGTTCAACCTGGATATCAGGGAAGCAAAGCAGCTGGCCACTAGCTCTTGTCTCAAGCTCAGGCTGAAAGGGCTGACCCGCACACCAGCTCTTCACCGCGTCTCAAACTGCTGCCTCTCCTCAGCGTGGCTGGAGAACAAATCTCTCTGAGACCTTGCTTCTGTCTTATATATTTCCTGAATGTTAGGATTAAAGGTGTGAGCTATAATTCTCTTTTAGACTGACTCACTCTTGTGTAGATCTGGGTGGCCTTGAACTCATAGAGATCTGTCTATCTCTTAATCCTGAGTCCTAGGATTAAAGGTGTGTTCTACTAGCTCCCAGTTTCTGGCTGCAGGGATTAAGGTTGTGTGCCTGGCTTCTATGGCTTGTGGCTGACTTTGCTTTCCGAATCCTCTGGCAAGCTTTAATAAATCATAAACAATATATCACCACAGGTGATTCCTCAATTAAGGTTCCTTTTTCCCAGGTGACTCCAGATTGTGTCAAATTACCAAAAACAAAACAAAACAAAACAAAATGACCAGCACCCTCCCCCAAGCCAGAACAGTTGGTGCTAAGGACAGTGTCCCACTGTGACTTGGTTTCTACTTCTTTGCTTGATTGTGTGACTCCTTTGAGCCACTGTCACTCTCTGGGCTTTCTCAGTTCCATGCCCTGCAGAAGGGGAGCATGAGTTGTTTTGGAAAACGATACAACATAAATAACATCCCTGGGCCTCTTCAAGGCCAAGAATGAGAACACTTGACCCTCTTATCTACCATGGTTCTCTTTCTTGAGACGTGAAGGAGATGGCACCTGCCCCGCCCCCATCACCCTGTGACCTGTCTCTGAGACTCTCTTCCTGATATGTTCCCTGGCAGGTGAGACAGACGCTGTTCATCACAGGACTCCCCAGAGAAGCCAGAAAGGAGGCTGTGGAGAGCCATTTCCGGTAAGAGAAAGACCCCGTCAGCCACTCAGGGCGAACGGGGTTGTCGGGTGGAGCCTCTGAGGTGAGGCCTGTGCCATGGGTGGACACCTGTGTCCTCTGTCTGAAAATACAGGGTTAATCCATCCCTGCCACGGGTATCAAGTGGCTTCTAGGTGTGTTGGCGCTGGGGTGGTGTGTCCTCTGTAGCTGTTGTGGTTAAGCCTGCGGATCCTGAGTGCAGGCTGAAGTGCAGATACAGAGAGTGTCCACGCTGGAGGCTGAGAGCCAAGCTGTCACACAGAGCTGGTCTCCCAGGCCCAGGGATGTTAGCTGTCTGTTGGGAGAGCCTCTGGCTGTCAAGGGTTCTGGGACAGCTCCTTCAAGCAGAGCCGGCACTGCGTACAGTCACAACACAGGAAAAGGCTCAGGTTCAATTTCTAGCAGAAAGGGCAGCCCCAAGGCTCCCTCTTCATCCTTGTCAGAGCTGCCGTCATTGACTGCTGGCAAATACCAGGAGCTGGCTACAGATTGACCCTGGGCAGTTTGGGACAAAAGCACTAGGTGAACAACAGAAGCGTGGAAGGGTGTTTAAAACCGTGGACACATCTCCTTCAGTATCTACAGCTACTTTTGGAGGTATTTGCATATGTGTGTATATTTATATGTGAATATAGGTGCGTATTCACTTGACCCAAGGATGGTTTTCTGTCCCTTGAAAAATACTCCTCTACGCTGCCTGCCAGGCAGTGTTTGGAAACAGTGAGTCCACTTCATGCACACACTTAATTAGAAAAACAAGTGACCTCATTGCCAGGCAAGCACCGTGTGACACAGACTTTCCCTGTTTTAGGATGCCTTCCTGGGCAAGGTTGTCGCAGCGGACTTGTGGGCTTGCTTCCGCCAGGGCCACTTTCACCAGGAAACCTTCCTCTAAGCCTTCTTGGCATCTTTTTGTGGTTCTGAAATCTTGTTAGCAGAGCCTCTGCCGCTGAGCTCCTCAGAGCCCTTGTTGACCAACACCTTGCTTGGCTCCTCCGTCGGCTTGCTCTCTCACACACTGGAGAAAACGTCAACTTAAGCAGGCTCTGCTCCCGGCACCCAGAATAGCAGCTGGTGGTGCCCGATATGGGCCCCGGAGTCCTCGGGAGCCATGTGGACATTGTTTGGTATATGGCGCAGGGCCATTTTGTGGTTGCTGTTGGCTGACCTTGGAACTAGACTGCCTGGACTTAGCTTCTGGCTCAAAAATTCACTCACTGTGTGACCCTAAGCTTAAGAAGCCTTTACCCTTGGTGATGTAGGAGTTTTTTTGACTGACAATATGCGTTATGCGTGCAGACATTTTCCAGCCTGAGGTTTTTTTTTTTTTTTTTTTTTGCTGTTCTTAGGCTCTCTAGAGGTCTATTGCCTTCAGAAAGGTTGGGGGGGCATTAGGATTTCAAAGATAGTCTAGGTAGATGCATCCCTAGAACAGATAATCAATATCTTCCGTTGAGTGGCTGGGGAGGGATGGTGCTGGGGGTGGAACCCAGGGCCTCGTGTGTGCTAAGCTCTCTACCACTGAACCTTACCTCAGTCCTGTTGGTTCATAATTCCCCATGAGAAACTAAGTAGGTGCACATTTTTCAGTTTACTGCAGTTACTTTCATTGCCTTAAAAATTGGAGAAAAATGCCTCTGGGACTAGAGATGTAAAAAATGATACAATATATGTTTAACATTCACATGGCCATAGGTTTAATCCCCATTGATACACACACACACACACACACACACACACACACACACACTCATACTCTCACACTCACACACACGCACACACACACACACCCACCTACCTCTTTGTATTAAACTTCACATTGTTCCTTTCTCTGGAAAAAAGGACAATCAGCAAACAAAGGCAGTGTGATTCCAATGCAGGGGTGGGTAGGGGTGGCCATTTCTACGTGGATGTTCTCTTCCAATGGCTTTCTTTTCCCTCTGCTTGCTGGCTACAGGGATGCGTATCCCACGTGTGAGGTGATGGATGTCCAGCTGTGCTACAGCGTGGCTAAGCTGATGGACCTGTGCAGGGAGAGGTAAGGGAGGTGGATGCGTGAGTTCAGCTTTCCCAGGTCTTGCTCCCGATGCCCACTTGCTTCCTTGCTGGGATCCTTCAGCTGCCTCTTTCTGGATCTCAGCGCTAAACTCCTAACCCTGCTGGTGACTAATTGTTGGCTGTGGCATGGCCTGGGGCGGTAAGTCCCAGTTTGTGCCTCCCTCCTACCTTACAGGAGGAAGGTGGAGAAGAGCCTCGCCTATTATACAAACCTGCAGGCGAAGACGGGCAGACTGACCCTCATCAACCCCAAGACTTGTGGCCAGTTCTGCTGCTGCCAAGTGCGGGGCTGTGAGCCGGTGAGGCAGGGGACGGGCACGGGCACCCTGACGCCTGCACAGGGTCGCATCACCCAGGGGCTGTGTCTTCTGGCAGGAAGATGCTGTCTCTTATTACACCCAAATGAATGACAGTCTGCTGGAGAGGATTACAGCTGAGGAGTGCCGGGTCCAGGACCAGCCCCTAGGCATGGCCTTTGTCACCTTCCGTGAGAAGTCCATGGCTACTTTGTGAGTATGGCTGAACCCCTGATCCCACCTGCTCATTTTTGTCTATTGTAGAGACACACACACTGCCCGCCCCTCTTGGGGGAATTCCAGTCTATGTTTGAGTGACAGCGGGGAGGGCTGGGTCCTTGCCGACCCCTGCCGGATGATGTGGCCCAGACCCAGGGTTGAGTGCTCACACCTGCTCCAGTCCATCCTGCTGTCTGCCAGGTGGATTGAAACTCAGGACCCAGGGCCCTGCTCTGTCTGTGGACAGGTGGGCGGCTGTGGGGACGCTGTGGAGCACTCTGGGTGTCCTTAGCTACAGGATCCTGGAGCTGCAAGCTTAGGAAGCACTCCCAGGCCTAGGACCTTGGGGTCACCTCACCTTAGATGACTGAGTGTGCGTAGGGTGCAGAGAGGATGCCAAGCCTCTTGTGTTTTCTGTGCTTCAGGCATGGTGGCTCTGGGGATGGGCGCTACCAAGAGTTCTGGCCTCAGACTGTAGGAAGAGGAGAGGTACCCTGAGGTACCAGTGAGATTCTGTGGATTGCCAAAACAGAGAAGTCTGAGATGTTAACAGTGGGCCATGAGTCCTGGGGGGAAACTTCAAGAATGAGCAGTACATAATGTGACTGATGCTATTCCCGGCCTGGGGACAAAGTGAGGGCTGGGAAGTGGAGCCATTTGGCTGGCACAGAGTCACTTTTATGCTCCAGGGTCACAAGGAGACATAGAGGGTGACCCTTGGAGGCTGTTACAGTAGGACAGTGCAAACAACATGGAAGTGGGCCGATATCTGGGAACGCTGAAACCTAATGTGCTGGGCCTCGGTTTCCTTGTCTGTAAAAAGATAGAGTAACCTGCGGCTTGCAGAGTCATGACAAGGATGAACCAAAACCTGCCATGCGGCAGGCATGGCATTTCTTTTTGGTTGTTTGAGACAGGGTCTTAAGTAGTTCAGGTTGACTCGGAGCTCACTGTGTGGCCTGGGCTGGCCTTGTCTACTGTCTTAGTTAGGGCTTCTATTGCTGTGAAGAGACACCATGACCACAGAAACTCGTATAAAGGAAAACATTTAACTGGGGCTGGCTTACAGATTCAGAGTTCAGTCCATTGTCATCATGGTGGGAAGCATGCGGGTGGACATGGCCCTGGAGAAGGAGCTGAGAGCTCTTCATCTGGGTCCACAGGCAGCAGGAAGAGACAGCCGCAGTAGGCCTGGCTTGAGTTTTGAGGCCTGAAAGCTAACCCCCCTAGTGATGTACTTCCTCCAACAAAGCCACACCCACGCCAACAAGGCCACACCTCCTAATAGTGCCACTCCCTGTGTACCTATGGGGGCCATTTTTATTCAGTCCACCACATCTGCTTGTGGTCGACCTGCCTCAGCCTCTCCAGTGCTGGGGTTGCAGGTGTGCAGCACACCATTCCTGGGCCTTTCCACTAACTATAATATGGTAGTAACAATGGGGCGGGCATCCTGTGCTCTCTCTACTGTGGATGCATGGGGGATAGAGGTGAGCCGCACTGTAATAGCGTCTGCATTTCTTGACAGCATCCTGAAAGACTTCAACGCCTGCAAGTGCCAGGGCCTCTGGTGCAAAGGTGAGCCCCAGCCGTCCTCCTATAGCAGAGAGCTCTGTGTCTCCAAGTGGACTGTCAGCTTCGCCTCGTACCCTGAGGACATCTGCTGGTAAGTTCCCAGACTGGGGGGGGGGGGGATGGGAGAAAGACCTGGCTTTCTGCAGGGGTTGGGGGGTGGAGGGATGGGGGAATTGTGTGTGTGTGTGTGTGTGTGTGTGTGTGCCTGGTTACCTGGAGCATAGATATGGTCTGGCTTTTTTTTTTTCTTAAACGAATATTTATTTATTGTCAGGTGGTGATGGTGGCTCATGCCTTTAATCCCAGCTCTCAGGAGGCAGAGGCAGGTGGATATTCCTGAATTTGAGGCCAGCGTGGTCTACAGAGCGAGTTCCAGGACAGTCAGGACTGTTACACAGAGAAACCCTGTCTTGAATAATCCAGAAATCTTATTTATTATTTTATTATTTTTTGGTTGTTTTGAGATGGGCCTCCAGCTGTCCTTTAACTCACTACATAGACCAGACTGGCCTTGAACTCACAGAGATCTGCCTGCCTCTGATATTAAAGGTATGCACCAGTATGCCCAGCTCTTTAACAAATATTTAAACACCTACTATTGCCAGATACTACTCTATTTCCATTGGTTTTATTATTTTAATTTTATGTACATGGGTATTTTGTCTGCATGTATGTGTGTGTACCATGCCTGCTCCTGGTGCCCATAAGGGCCAGGAGAGGTATAGATGGTGTGAGCCTCAGTGTTGGCGCTGGGAATCGAACCTGCAGCCCCTGGAGCGGGCAGCGCTCTTAACCATTGAGCCATCTTCTAGTGTCTGTGGCTCACATTAAATGGCCAGCTACTCCAGGTCACTTGGAGTCCAGGCTCTGGGCCTGGTGCTGTGATGTGTTTGATTAGGTGTGGCAGAGGAGTCTATACTTCCCCCGTGATCAGTCTTTAGCATTCAAAAGCTGTCCAGAAGAAATATCATGTAAGCTATGTGCCTCATAAAAACTGTCTGTTAGCCATGTTAGAGAAAGAAGTGATTGAAATTAATTTTAATTTAAACCTCTTCCAGTGAACTCTAAATGTATATTACCATGCAATATACGGTTCTAGAATGAAGACTTTTGTTTCTCCCATTCATACTCAGTCTTTGGAATCCGCCACATATTTTATACTTCTAGTACCTCTCAGCCGAGGCCACCCACGCTCCAAGTGCTAGTAGCCACGTGGGTGTGTGCCTGCCACGTCACACGGCACAGGTGGAGTGGAGGCCGTATCGCTGAACTGAGCCATATCTGCAGACCTCATGTGAAATTTAGGGCCCACACCGAGGCTGGAGGCACCCTAGCATGCCGCCTGCTAGGCAGGGCCTTCTCAGTTGCTTGGGTGGAGTAAATCTTGGATGCACATAGCCATTGTTTCTGAGCTCACAGAGCACCCCAGAACTGAGGCTGTTTTTGTGGGGTGAGGAGTCAGGTCTGGGGGTGCCTGTGCTCCCTGCTTGCCTCCTTGCTCCTCAGCCCACGCCCCCCCTGCAAAGTGTGTACTGTTAGTTTTGCCTGGACAGTGTTGGGTGTCTGTGACATCACTGGTAGGTCCCATCATTACCGACAGCTGCTTTCCTCCTGAGCTCTGGGACCTGAAATTCAGCCTCCTTGTGACGGAATGCCAGGGCAGAGAACCCGCTTTTGCTCTTGAGGTCCAGAGTAGCCAGAGTCCTAGTCTAACCTTAAAGCTGACCTGATGTGTCTCAGCCGTGGGCACCGCAGGTGTTGTAGACGGCCTGTGCCTGGGAGTTAATTCAGCGTCTCGGCTGGTGTCGCCCTCTGCAGGAAGAACCTCTCCATCCAGGGTGTCCGCTGGTGGCTCCAGTGGCTGGGCGTCAACTTCATTCTGTTTGTGGTGCTGTTTTTCCTGACCACACCCTCCATCATTATTTCTACCATGGACAAGTTTAATGTCACCAAACCCATCCATGCGCTCAATGTGAGTGGTCAGCCTGCCTGCAGGAAGAGGCTGGGGGGCGTGAGGACGGACATGGAGCCTGAAGGTTTGAAGCAGGGAGCCATGTCACTCAGGCCATGTTTATCCTGTGCGTGTGCATGCGTGTGCGCACACGGAAGCCAGGGAAGGATATTGGTTGTCCTGTTATATTACTCTGAGACAATCTCTCAATAACCTGGTACGAATCTGGCAGCTAGAAGCCCCAGCGATCTTCCTGTCTCCACTACTTACAGTGCTGTGGGCACAGGTATGTGCAAACCTGGCTTTTCACATGGACTTCTGGGGAATTGAACTCAGATCCTCATGCTTGCACAGCAAGTAGCCTTATCCAGTGGGTCCTTCTGAGCCCACGTTTGCCATTTTAAGCTCGAAGCAGGCGTGGTGATGTTATAGAGCCTTTATGGTCATGCAAGCAATTATGTTCACTTAACAGAATTAGTCTAGTGCTCAAGAGGAAGATGCTCAAGTCATTTCAGTTGAACAAAGTCTATTTAGTCTTAAGAAAATGTGAAGCGTTTATGAAAAATTGCATAGTTATTTTGGTAAGCTTATAATAAAAGCAGAATATACAGCTTGGCATGATGGCTCACACCTGTAATCCTAGCACTCGGGAGGCAGAGGCAGGAGGATTGATATAATCTACAGAGTGATACCCTGTTTCAAAAACAGGCCAGCCAGGTCCAGAGACACATCCCATGGTTAAGAGCACTTAATGCCTTTCTAGGGGACACGGGTTCTGTTCCCAGCACCACATCAGGCAGCCCTGGCACCCTGTCCTGGCTTTGCCATCACTGGCTGGTGATTTCTGAGTCTGAATTTTTTTGCTGATTAGCTGGAATCGGTCACTTGTCATGTTACGCCTGTGATAGGTGGAAGGAACACTTATCTGACTCGAAAGACATTAAAAAACACCTACGTATACATGGCACAGTTTCCTTTAGACTGACAGCAGGCAGACCTCATTCTCTTGCCAGTCTTTTGATGCAGGGACAAGGCCTGTTTCTCTGAGGCTGTTTTCGCTGGTCAGAGTTCCCCTTTGTCTGTCTTGTACGTTATTACTTCATCAGTTCTGACCCTAGTTTGGGGTTCTCTAAGTAAGAATTTAAACTGTGGATGTAGCACAGAGGTATAACAGAGAGCGGGCACATCCTGTCCCAAGAACCCCAAATAAGTGAATAAATAACGTACAGCAAACATTGAAACAACATGTATGCCTAGTGCTTGAGGAAGCCGGAAGAGAGTGTTACAGATGGTTGTGAGCCTCCATACGAGTGCCGGGAATTTAACCCATGTCCTCTGGAAGAATAGCCAGTGCTCTTAACCACTGAGCCGTCTCTCCAGTCCCTAATTTACTCTTATGTAATTCAACAACATGTTTTCAGAAACTAACCTTAATAAGTCTTTTAAAAGTGTTCAACTTAAGCTTTTAAATTTTTACCCACCTACTTTTGAGGTCCTGGGAATTCACACATACCAGGTAAGCACTCTATACTGAGTCATGCCTCTAGATAGCCCCAGCTTAGTTTTCAAAGAGAATTTCTTCCTGTTTTTATGTTCCTTTAATCAGTGAAATAACTTCTGTAATGACAGTAGCCAGCACAACCAGTCTGAACAGGATTAGGGTGAGACCCCACGGGGCTGTGGCAGCTTCGGCTGGACAGTGGGAGCTGCCTGGCAGGTCAGTTGGGGTGGAGCCCGGCCTCCAAGCAGCGGCCCTCAGAGAAGCCGGTGTCATCCGGCCCATCCGAGAGAGAGGTCTCATTGCACCGGTCCCTCCTTTCTTGGGTGGAAAGGTCTGTGTAATCAAGAAGTGCGGTTCCTGTTCATTTGCCAGCGTTTGAGGACTGGATGATGGCTAGAAGCACGTTGAGCCACCAGGTCCCCAGGGGCCTCCAACCCCATCTTGACCCTGTGTGGTGGCCCTTGTGTTTCAGAACCCTGTCATCAGCCAGTTTTTCCCCACCCTCCTGCTCTGGTCCTTCTCGGCCCTGCTGCCATCTGTGGTCTACTACTCCACGTTGCTGGAGTCTCACTGGACGAGGTGAGCAGAGCTGAGTCTGTGCGGGGGTGGAGGGGTGCAGGGTGTGGGGTGCGGGGTGTGTGTGGGGGTGGAGGGGTGATGCCTCTTACTCCACCCAGGGCAGCAGGCACATCACTGGATCTTACATGTCTCTCTGTCCCTGCAGGTCGGGAGAAAACCAGATCATGGTGTCAAAGGTCTACATATTCTTGATCTTCATGGTACTGATCCTGCCCTCCCTCGGCCTGACGAGGTACATCCGTTTCCTGTCCAGCCCCAGTCAGAAGCGGGGTCCAGTTCTTGCCATCTATTCTGGGCCTATGATAGTCCTTGAAAACAAAGAGCTTGTCAACAAAACCTGAAGAGGACTTCCCCTGTAGGGAAGGTCCAGTCCTAGCTGTGTTTGTCTTGTGGAAGGAAGTGCCTGTTAAAGAACGTGTGACCGTCACATGTAAGGGGCACCGCAGGGGACAACTGTCTCAAGATTGGGGCTGTTTTTAGAGAGGAAGGAAACGAAAGTGTGTCATGACCATATGAAGCTTGAGGAAGAAGACCTGAGGGCAGACCCTGGGTTTCATCTCCAGTATTGAAACAAACAAACAAACAACCCCCCACCCCCAAATCCAAGTGAATAAGGAACTCGTGGACTTCATCTGTCTTTCAGCCTGGACTTCTTCTTCCGGTGGCTCTTCGACAAAACTTCCTCAGATGGCTCCATCAGGCTAGAGTAAGTATCGGCTCAGCCGCCATCCACACCACACAGCTAGAGAGCTTTGTGTGTGTGTGATGAGGGTGCTGCAGGGGGTGTCAGGCTTCAGGACAGGCATCCTCCCTGGACATAACAGGCCTTGCAATCACACCAACCCTCCTGCAGTCCTGGAATGTGCTGTGGGAGCTGACCTACTGTGTGTATGCTTGCAGAAATGCTGTTGTCATGTGGGCCAGGATTCAATCAGTGGCGGTCATGTTCCTTGTCTGAGACTTACAGACCGCAGAGCCACTGGGAGAAGGGACTTCTGGGTTTTCGTGATGCCCCAGCCAGGCTCCTAATTAAACATAGTGACTGTGTAGCCTTGGATCGTTTTGCCAAGAGAATGGAGTTCAGTTTAGGGATGGGTGTGTCCTTGTTAGTACTGCAAGCCTGTGATACACTCCCCTAATCATGATAGCTGTTATTTAAAATGGCTCTATGCTAAATGTTTGAGTCCTTTTCTTAGTCAATTCACAATAAGCCATGAGGTGACAGTTCCGTGTGTAAAGTACTTGCCATGTGTGATGACACACACTTGTAGTCCAGGTACAGAGACAGGAGGATTCCAGTAGCTTATTGATCATCTCCAGTCAGTGGGTGGGCTCCAGTTTCAGAGAGAGAGAGAGAGAGAGAGAGAGAGAGAGAGAGAGAGAGAGAGAGCAAGCTGTGAGGTTGATGCTATTCCTGTCTCCATTTTACAGACAATGGGGGTCAGAGCTATTGAGTTACTCACCCAAGGTTGCCTGGCTAGTTATTCAGCCTATTTCACGACACTCAGGTTTTCAGTAGTCTCCAGAGTGATTGGGAATGGCTGTGGGGGAGGCTGGCCTGAAAGGATGGGACATTTGTTTCTTGCTGAGTTGCCTGGTGACTCAGGAGCAGGTAGCTACAGATAGGCAAATGCCTACCCAACTAGCTCTTGCCATGGTGACCAGGGGCTTCTGGCTGTCAAATCCAATGACCAGCTCGCAGTTCCTATTCCCTGTGACCTGTGCACCTCACCTGTCAAATCCAATGGCCAGCTCGCAGTTCCTATTCCCTGTGACCTGTGCTCCTCACCTGACATATTTTTGGCCAGGGCTCTTCCTGGAGACAGTGTTCTCATTTGACTCTGGACCCTGCCCATGGCCTCCCGTCCCACAGCCTCTCCTCTGCACCCTCCTTGAGACTTCCTGCAGAGCTAGGTGTGGGCTGCCTGAGGGCTCTCTCCTAACCCCCTCATCTGAGCTCACGGCTTCCTTGCTGTCTGACTACTGAGTTAAAATACGTGCACCAGGGGTCTAGAAGCGCCTCGCTGGGCTTCATCCGGCACCAAGACGTTAAAGAACAGCGTAAATTCCACAGTTTGCACACTGTGGCTATTGAGCCTTCTGACCGCTGTCTCAGCCTCAGATGGAGGCTGTACGCTGTGCACTTCACCCGCCCTAACCCAGACCTGCTATGCCACCATTTCCTCAACGCTCAAGCTGGTCCCGAAAAGGCCTGGAGCTCACCCCGCTGTCTTCCTTCCTCTCCTTCCTCTTACACCGTATCCAGTCCATCAGCAGATCCCCAGTCCATCTCCAAGGAGGCGTGGAATCAGACCCTAACCCTGACCCCCACCCACCAGCCCTCATGCAGTGCACCTCAGAGCTGTCACACTGTCCTCCACGCTGTAGGGGCTTTTCAGCCTCACAATCTGCCCCGCCCCCTGGCCCACTGCTTTCCAGGCCATCTCCCCTCATCCTGTTCCTTGGCAATGCCAGGTCCACAGCTCCATCCATGTGGTTATCTATGACCTCTTGGTGACCTGCCTTTTTGATCAGCCTTCTAAACTCATTGACATTCCCACCCAGCTGGACAGCCCCTCGCCGCCTGCCTTATTGTATATGCCTTTGTTTGTTTGGGTCCCCAGAGAGTGTGTAAATGCAAGTCGGCCGAGTCCAGGGCTTGGGGTTTTGTTTTTTGAGACGAGACAGGTTTTCTCTGTAGCCTTGGCTGTCCTGGAACCTGAAACTCGCTCTGTAGACCAGGCTGGCCTTGAACTCACAGAGATCTGCCTGCCTCTGCCTCCCAAGTGCTGGGATTTTTTTTGTGTGTGTTTGTTTCTTTATTTTATTTTAAATTTGAGAAGAGGTCTTGCTCTGTAGCTAGAAGGGCCTAGAATCATGATCCCCCTGCCTCTGCTGTCTCCATGGAGGGCTTACCAGCATTAGGCTCGATTTTACTCTTAGCTCAGCATAGTAACTGACACCCACAAATGTGTGCCGAATGGGGAGTGCAGGGAAAACCCTCCCAGAGCCCCATTCTTCCAGCTAGGAGGAAGCTCTGGGGTCCCATCTCACAGGCCTGTTGGACCTCCTAGGTGTGTCTTCCTGCCAGACCAGGGCGCCTTCTTTGTGAACTATGTCATCGCCTCAGCCTTCATTGGCAGCGGCATGGAGCTGCTGCGGCTGCCCGGCCTCATCCTCTACACCTTCCGCATGATCATGGCCAAGACAGCCGCTGACCGCAGGAATGTTAAGCAGGTACTGCCTCCCGTCCTCCCCAGGGTTCGCCGCCCGCCCGTGGGCCTCTCAGCGCTCTGGAATAAGTGACAAGAACTGTCTGGGCCCAGGGTCACCTCTGTCTGGAACCTCTTCAGCTTGTGGCAAGCCTTTCTCTAGCCTCCAATCTGAATCATGGGCTGGAAGAAAGAGTTCAGATTTTTGCGGTTTAACCAGTCTGGCCCCACACTATATGACTTTCTCATGCCTCTCATAACGCACCTGACAAAAACAACTTAAGGAAGATTTATGTTGGCCTCCGGTTTTAGGGCACAGTCCGTGGTGGCGGGAAGGTGTGGGGTGGGATCCTGCTCATGCTGGATCCAATTAGGAAGCAGAGAGACATGGTGCTTAGCTGGTGCTTAGCTGCTCTCTCTTTTCCCGCTTTCATTCAGCATGGGGCGTTAGTGCATGGAGTGATGCCACATACCTTGGGGTGGGTGTGGTGTGGTCTTCTCAGTAAGTCTCCCTAGAAATACTTACACAGAGAGCTGTGTCTCCTTGGTGATTCTGAATCCAGTCAAGTTGACAATCACATAGCTAAAAGCTATACGTTCAGTGGTTTAATCACCACCTGCTTAGCAAGAGAGAGCGATGGTATACAACCCTGTTCCTAGGGGTCTCTGGACTCCTAGGAGCACTTCTGATGTCAAAGCTATTTCAGGCTATGGCACTTTTCCAGACCTCCTTAGTTGGGTGGTGTGGGGCCACTGTTTCCCTACGCCTTGGTGAAAAGAAGTAGGAGGCCAGTTGTCCTCTGTGTTTTGGGATGGACGCCACTAATCTCCTTGTTTTGCAATGGTACAAACTGAGCTGGCCCAGGCCACCTGGGCTAGGGTTCAGCAGGGAGACCGTCCTGTCTGTGTGGACTCTCTAGGTGTTTACTCCAGCTTGTATCTGCCCCAGGAGCTCATAGCCCTGTGGTTGGACACAATCACAGTGGAGTCCCATGAGAGCACACACACCATGCCTTGGAAGATCTGGCTGTGAACCGAGAGACTCTGGAGCTGGCTGGAGGAGAGGAAGCCAAGCGATTCAGAATACGCCTACCTAACTAGTTCTCCCCAGCCCTCTGAACTCCTCCCATCCCCATGCTTGGAGCACATAGAAGGCTGTTTGGGGGCAGAACCAACCTGTGAGCTCCTTAACCCTTTCTTTCCCCAGAACCAGGCCTTTGAGTACGAGTTTGGAGCCATGTATGCATGGATGCTGTGTGTCTTCACTGTCATCATGGCTTACAGCATCACTTGCCCCATTATTGTGCCATTTGGTAAGTGGTCCTGCATCAGTCTCAGGGGTTGTGGACAGCTGACTCTTTCATCTGCCTGAGACAGCTTCCACCAGGTCACAGCGGATTCCCAGCAGAGTGACATCTTGTAGTTACTGGAACCACAGCCTGTGACACAAAATTTCCTTTCCTTTCCTAAATGGTTGCTTCTGCTGGCATCTCTCATCATGTCTGGTGTGAGTTTCTATTCTGGCCCGCCATGGTATCTTGTTTGATTTGTATATATATGTATATATGGATGTGTGCATGGGTACATATGGTTGATATTGGGTTGGGTATTTTACTTCTCCTCTCCTCTCCTCTCCTCTCCTCTCCTCTCCTCTCCTCTCCTCTCCCTCTTTCTTCCTTTGATATATATTTTTAAGACAGGGTCTCACTTCATAGCCTTGGTTGGCTTAGAACTCACTATGTAGACTAGACTGGTCTCAAACTCCTGAAGATCTGCCCTCCTGCGCCTCTGCCTCCTGTGTTGGGACTAAAGGTGTGTGTCACTATGCCTACCCTATGATATCTTTCTCTATTACCCTCCGCTATATTTTTTGAGACCATCTCTGTATAAACACAGAGCTCTCTGACCGGCTACTCTGGGGACCTGCCTATCTCCACTTCCTCCTCCCAGTGCTGTGGTTACAGATGTGTCCACCATGCCCAGTGTTTACATCAGTGCTGGGTCTGACCTCAGGTCCTCATGCTTGTGGGAGTCCCCTTACGGACTGAACTATCTCCTCAGTCATGATGTTTATTATTATTTTATCATCATCATCACCATCATCATCTAGATCATACTTTATAAAGCATGCTATGGTCTTGCTGTGTTGTAGCACAAATCGGCTTCAAACTCGGAACCCTCTGCTTCAGTGTCCCAAACACTGGGGTTGTAGCTGTTTGTGCCACCATGACTGGCTCTTCTTAATATGGTCTAATTACTTAATTAAGGGCTAGAGAAAATGGCTCAGTGGTTAAGAACATATATTGTTCTTGCATAGGACCTGAGTTCGATTCCCAGCACCCACAACTGCCTGAAAGTCTAGCTTCAGAGAGCTGCCCTCTTTCACCGCCTTGGTCACACCCACAAACACACACATTCACATAAACAGATAGTGAAATAAAATAGAAGCATTACTTTTTGAGGCAGGGTCTCACTGTATAGCTCTGCTGTCCTGGATCTCGCTCTGTGGACCAGGTTGGCCTCAGTCTCACAGAGATGCTCCTGCCTCTGCCTCCCCTGTACCGGGACTGTGGCCCAGTTGACCCCCAGCTCAGTGGCCCAGCCGACCCCCAGCTCAGTGGCCCAGCCGACCCCCAGCTCAGTGGCCCAGCCGACCCCCAGCTCAGTGGCCCAGCCGACCCCCAGCTCACAGCCCCCCCCCCCCCTTTGCAGGCCTCATCTACATCCTGCTCAAGCATATGGTGGACCGGCACAACCTGTACTTCGCTTACCTCCCGGCCAAGCTGGAGAAAAGGATCCACTTTGCTGCTGTGAACCAGGCCCTGGCTGCCCCCATCCTCTGCCTCTTCTGGCTTTTCTTTTTCTCCTTCCTCCGTCTGGGTAAGGGGCACTCTGCTTTGGACCCCGTGCCAACAGCCTCGTTTCCTCATGCCCACAGTGGGTCAGTCACTAACGACTTTCACAGCATCAGCATGGTAGAGCATGGTGCTCCTGGGAGAGGTCTGGTTGCTGCGGTGTTGACAGCCTGGCCAGTGAGCTAGCTCAGGTGTGACATAGCTCCAGAAACCCCCACGGAGGAGGCAGCTCCTGTATCCGTCCTGGGGGCACTGAGCCAGGGCCTGTGAGACTCTACAGTCACCCCCAGGTAGTCCCTGTCCTGTCTAGCCCTAGGCTCCAGAGGCTGGTCCCAGCAATCCCACCTTCAAATGACCACTTACTTGGTGTCCCAGAATTCAAAACCTGGCTAGGGATGATTCTAGCCATCACATGGGTTCTATACCCTGTGTGCTGCTGGCTGTGGGGACACCGTTCTGATTGTTGGAGTGAGGGGCAGGGGTGGGGGCTAGGGAGCAGTCGCCCACAGTTTGGGCACCAGGCCTGGCCCTTTCCTCAACAGAGCAATCATGATAGGAAGTCCCCTGCCTCAAGGCTGCGCCTGTGTTCCCAGGTCTGAAGGCCCCCGCCACTCTGTTCACCTTCCTGGTGGTGCTGCTCACCATTCTGGCCTGCCTGCTCTACACCTGCTTTGGATGCTTCAAGCACCTGAGTCCGTGGAACTACAAGGTACCCAGCTGTCTGCCGTGCCTCAGGGTGGGCTCTGAGGACTGCAGCGGCTCTCCCCCCCTCAGGGTGGGCTCTGAGGACTGCAGCGGCTCTCCCCCCCATGGGACGGCAGTACCAGCCTTCCCCAGCTTTTCTTTGGGCGTAGGGTGTGATGTGGCTTTCCTCCCTCCCCTCTCCCAAGCCCCTGCCCCTCCCTCAGTTGAGCTGCTGGGCGCCTGGTGCCGGTTGGTCCCATTATTCTGCGGGTTACCAGTCTCTTTGTTTGGGGAGACGTTGGTTCAGAGAGACTGGCTATGTTGATCATTTTGTCCCTGCTGTTGTCCACAGACGGAAGAATCAGCCGGTGACAAAGGAAGCGAAGCAGAGGTCCACGTGCCCCCACCGTTCACAGTAAGCTGTCTGCGTTTCTGCCCCACAGTGGCTACTTTGTCACTCTGATTGTAAGGTCCCATCCAGAGAAGCCATAGGATTGTGCTGGGACAGTTCTGGCTGAAAACAAATGCCAGGTCAGGTGGCAGGCTAGTTTTGAATGAATGGCGGTAGAGAGGACTCCCCAGTCAGTCAGGATGCTGCACGGGCACACCAGAGGCCGCCTTGGCCGCCGAGGCCAACCCCGCCAGTGGGTGCCCATTTTTCTCTGGGCTACAGTGCCCTGCTCGCTTGACCTCTCTCATTGCACTGCCTGGAGAGTCGGGCCTTTAGTGCGGCCGCGTCAGGAGGGCCTGTGCTTGGGTGCAGCTTCGTCACTGGTTATTCAAGTGCCTGTGTGGGGTCCTGTGACAGCTATGGGAGACTTTTACCCTTTGGAGCTCAGCAAATGCATAGAGCACTTGTTCCAGAAGGGGGCGCCAGGTGGGAAAGGCCCCCTCTTCCTGGCTTTCCCTGCCTCCATCCTCCAGGGTGCTACCTCAGGGTAGAGCATTGTCCCTGAGCCCCAGATGGTAGAGTGGTGACTTCTGACCATTCTAACAGATGGGAGGGTGGGACGGACACTGGCTGTCCTGCTCAGCCTTACTCCTTCCAGCAGCTACCTTCCTGGGGTAAAAGCCTCCCCTTACGGTCTGTCCTCGGACAAACCCCTGATTACTAGGTACTCGGGAGCATAATTACCCAGAAACACCCTCGGCCCTGTCAGCCAGCAATGAGAGCAGGCTGTGTGGAAATTGGGGATCCCTCATTTACAGCTGGGCCTGGGAGGATGCATAGCTGACAGACACATGTCTGTACAGTCAGCCTGGCTCCCAAATAAACTGAGACGGTCACCCAGAATACAGTAGCAGGAAGGGGTGTTTCCTCTTAGAATGAGAGGAGCTCGCTCTGTTCTTTCAAGGATCATGAGAGCTGGGCTGCAGGCTGATTGCCATTTTGCTTGGCTGCTGAGAAATACACAGCTGGCTTGTTTTGGGCCCAGATGCCCCATGTGAATGCTATTTCTTGGCACACACACACACACACACACACACCTGTCGGGAGAGAGGGTAGCACAGGGCATGACCAGGGTATGGAGTGTCAGGCCTGCCACCCTCCAGGATCTGACTCTTGAATTTGCCAACAGCCCTATGTGCCTCGGATTCTGAATGGCTTGGCCTCTGAGAGGACGGCTTTATCCCCGCAGCAGCAGCAGACCTACGGTGCCATCCGTCACATCAGTGGGACTCTTCCTGGGCAGCTCGTGGCTCAGAACCCTAGCGACAGTGTGGCCAGTATCTACCAGGAATCCTGAGAGCGGGCAAGCTGCTGGTCGGGCAGGCTCAGGGCACTCAGGAGGACTGAGCGACAGAAGGGATTGGGGCCCAGATAGGCTCTTGAGTTCTTTCCTGTTTTGAAGCTCCTGTCTTGTGAGAAGAAGGTAACTAGTGGGTCATGGGGGCTCAGGTCCTTGGCTGAGGGTGTACCGTGTGGCTGCTGTCCCTAAGAGCCATCTGCAGGCTGCTTTTCTGGTTCTAGCGTGGGGAACACCTGCGGCTCCCGCCCTCGTGTGGCCATATGAGGCTATGCACATTCCTTCCATTCACTTGGCAAGGGCACGGCTCTGTAGGTGGGATGATGTTCTTGTGGTTTGTAGACAAGATCACGTGTTGGAATTTTGCCCGAGGCTAATCAGAGTTGAAGACTATCAGTTGATGGGGAGGTGTGTCCAGGAAAGCCCAGGAACGAACACTGCTTAGCCTTCTGCAAGCTGATACATCGCTAATGACCAGCGAAGCCCGCAGTAGCTGGGTCTGAGATGGAGCTCATGCGGGGTCCTACAATGCTTCCCCAGCTTGCAGCCCCTTTTCAGGGATCAGCGGACAGCAGCTGGGACCCAAAAGTATCATGTCCTTGCTGACAGCAGCAGGGCATCAGGCTCCTACCCACTGGCTGTGTAATCACCTCTGCACCTGCTGTGCCTCTGAGATCCTGTGACTGGGGTCACCCCGCAGTAGGCAGGGACATTGAGAACCGCTAATAAAGTGCCCATTGGGCTGGTGGTAGGATCCCATCTCTCATGCTTCTTCCAGGGTAACTCGTGGGTTTCCACACCATGCAGGCATGGTCTAGCCTCTGTCCAAGGTGGGAGGGGCATCACCAAGGGTACCCTGAAATTATGGGGGACAAAGGGGCAGGCAGAGAGAAGAGGGTGCCCCTCCCCTCTTCGGGTAGCTCTTTCTTTTTCCAGAGTGGGTTCTGGGCTTGGGCCATAGGGGACAGGCTGAGGCTGAGGGCCTACAGGGGACAGAAGAGGTGTGACAAGACATGTGTGGATGGGTGGGAATTAGCAATCCAAGGCTCAGTGAGGGTGCGGGCCAGGGCAGGGCTGTGGTTAGATCGGAAGCCAACCACTTGGTTCTGCCTCCGTCCCTTACCACAGAGTCCCTCACCACAGACCAGGCAGGATCTGCCACGCCTCTCTCACAGGTCTGGCGAGCCTTGACCACCAGAGTCTTTTCACTTCAGCCAGCCTTTCCTCCACAGGCTTGAGCTTCGTGAGTGTCTGGGTGGTGCCAGCATGAGTCTGGGGCCTGTGGGTGCAGAGTGGCCCTGGCCAGTGGCTCTTTCTAGCTGCTTCCCCTGCCTTTGCCAGTCTGGACTGATTCTTGGAGCCCATTTGGCACCAAAGCACAAGCAAAAGTGTGAGCTCCCCACAGGGAGGAGAGTCCTGCGTGGGTTGTAGTTTCGTGCAGCTGTGCTTAGAAGCGAAACCATTTGTCACCAAGGCCGCATTGCTTAACACAGGCCCATAGCATGCCAGGTAAACTTCAGAAACAATGCCGCAGGTGCCGTAGACAGGCGCACACAAATTCTGCTGTGCTGTGACTCACAAGGGGTTCTTAGAGGGAGTTCTTTGCAAGTGGGGAAGGTTCTAGCTTGAGTGCTAGGAGTCAGGGGGGCAAGAAGGCACCAGGTAAGAGTGAAATCAAAATTCAAAGTTGCCTTGGGTCTTGGCAGCAGGGGTTGCTTGCCCACAGCGATGGTGGAGGGAGCAGCTGTGAGGATAGAGTTGTTAACTCTCCCCCCACTGCCCCTCCTCTGTAGGAGGCGTGGCTAGATCTCTCCAGAGCTGGGGCACCTGGTTCTTAAAGTGGCCTTGTGTTTTTTTTCTAAGATTTATTTATTTATTCATTAATCATGTGTGCAGCATTCTCCCTGCATGTCTGCCTGCACTCCAGAAGAGGGCACCAGATCTCATTACAGATGGTTATGAGCCACCATGTGGTTGCTGGGAGTTGAACTCAGGTCCTCTGGAAGAGCAGCCAGTGCTCTTAACCTCTGAGCCATCTCTCCAGCCCTCAAGTGGCCTTGTACTTTAAAGTCTGTGACCTAAAGTGGGGGTGGTGAGAGGTGGAGGCTTGCACCCAGGCTCCTGGAGCCTGCAGGGCACAAAAATGTAAGCTCACTCCTCAGAAAGGGAGCATCTTACTGAAGGGAGACGGGGGTGGGGGGTGCCAGGGCCGCTGCTGAGGGTGTGGTTGATCCCGGAGGATGTCACTGTCTCTCTGCCAGGGACACGAACTTGCGGATGTCCTGGGCCAGAAGCTTGGGCTCCTCGAAGGCAGCAAAGTGGCCCCCACGCTCCATGTAGGAGTAGGAGATGAGCTTGGGGTACTTGACCTTCACCCACTTTTCTGGAGCGTGCAGTAGCTCTGAAGGGAAGGCAGCATAGCCAGTGGGCACAAAGACCTTCATCCTGTGGGGAAGACCGGTTGCTGAGGATTAGGGCTGAGGTGCTGCTCTCATGTCCCTAAAGCAGGGCTAGGGCCTCAGGGCTGAGGGAGGCCTTGTGGAACCGTAATGACAAGGTTAGACTCAGGAGTCAGCCATTCTGCTACAGCCAGTTTCTACTTACTAAGGACTCTGCCTGGGAGGACCACGGAACAGGTCATGCCAGCCTCTAAACACCCACTTGGCTAGTCTGTTTCCTCGCTGTCACCTGAGGGTCTCCATATAGACCTTGCAATTCCCAATGCCTCTGTCCCCACAGACCAGGACCCCAAGACCATCCGCTGTCCTTCTTATCTTGACATCACACCTTCAGATTAAAGTCCACATAGTTCCCAGCCCCAGCCCCCTCTCCCTGCTCAGCCAGGCTTACCCTTCATGCCTATGGACCATGATGCCCTGGCCCATGTTCTCCTTGTAGAAGCGCTGGGAGGAGACAATGGTTCCTGTTGTCCAGTAGATCATGATGTTAGTCAGAAGATCTTCCAGGGAGAACTTCCTGGGAAAGCGCACAGTCCAGGCTCAGTGCCAAGGCCCCTGCCTATCTGGCTTTCCTCAAACGACCCGTGTCATTTTCTCCCTGAGGTTGACTGGGTCAAGGTCCTCCGTTTCTAGGCGGATAGCTAGTGTAGAGTGCTGGCCACAGTAGACATCGAGTTCTAAATTCCTCACCAGCCTGCATTCATGAATTCTTCTCTCACCCTGTCTCCACGGGAAGCAGCATCACCCCGTCTCACCACCAGGTGGCGCCTGCACGCCTAGGAGTTTTGAGCAAGAGGAGCTCGCCCCAGCTCCCGACTCCACCTTCTCCAGGGCTTTCCAGGTCTCTGCTCACATACCTGCCCTCCAGGGATCATTCTCCCATGCCAGTTCAGGGTTCCAGGTTTCTCAATGTAATGAATTCTGGCTTAGGGTCCTAAGGGATTTGAAATCCCTGGTCTCCTGGGTATCCCTCAGGAGCCAGCACACAAACAGGCTTGAGGTGATGAACCAAGAGTCAAGGACCCAGGTGCCAGTCTTGGCTGTCGTGCTAAAGAGCCTTGGGACTCTGGCAGCTGTTCTAGGCCATGCCTGTGTCTCAGTCTGTCCTCTGGTAAAACAGCATGAATGAGACTTGGAAGACATGGAGGGACATCATTCAAGCACAATAGAAAGCCATGGGTCCCTTGCTCTGACAGCATGTCAATCAATGTGATGATTTTGTTGTTGTTTTGTTTTTTTGAGACAGGGTTTCTCTCTGTCCTGGCTGTCCTAGGACTCACTCTGTAGACCAGGCTGGCCTAGAACTCACAGAGACCTGCCTGCCTCTGCCTCCCGAGTGCTGGGACTAAAGTCGTGGGCCACCACCACCCATCCATTTCTTGACAACTGACTGTATCTGAATGTTGTGACTGCTGAGGCAAGAGCAGGCACAGAACAGTGTTTCTGCCCCAGGGCGTAGCCTGTCCCATTTCATTTTCTCTTCCTGCCCACTGCCACTGAAAGAAAGGCATAGACCCTGGCGACTCTGGGTCAGAGCAAAATCCTGCACCAGGATTGGGAACAGGACGAAGGCCCTGTACATGGTGCAGCTTCCAGAACATTGGAGATGGTTCCCAGGCTTTCCCACAGCCCTCTCTTAATTAGGATCTAACACAGAATCTAACCTACAGTCTGTCTCTGTCGACGCGCTGGCTGAGAGGCCCTGCTGGTCTGCAATAAAGGTTGCTCACTGTCCCGAATACTCCTTGCCTGTAGCGGGACCTGTTGAGTTCTGAGTCCTACTGAACAGGACATTTGTCCTGTGGGTGTCTCCATCTCTCCATCCTCCACCCAGGGTCCACCTGGTCACAGGTGGGGTGACAGTACATTTAGGACAAAGACAGAGGAGCTTGCTGTCCCCCTATAGAGGACCTGGATCAGGAATGAATGGTGGGCGGGGAGAGGCAGAGCCTGGGGCCTTGCAGCAGGGCGGGGGGGCCTCACCTCTCCAGACCTCCATCCTCCAGGTCACGGTATTCTGACTTGGTCCAGGTGGAGAACTTTTCTAAGATGTAGGCAGCCAGGCCCACAGGCGAGTCGTTCAGGGCACAGCCTGGATGGGAAGGAGAAAGGCAGGGATTGAAGCCTGGCCCCGGGGAGTATGACTGGAGGACGGACGTGCCAGGCTGGCTCAGTGTTGTGCCAGGCAGAAGCCCTGTTCCCAACACAGTCCTGCCATGTGTCCCACATCTGGAGCCCTTGAAGCCCTTGTAGGACCATCTGGTAAATGGGTCCAATCCTCCCCATGATCTCTCTCTCTCTCTCTCTCTCTCTCTCTCTCTCTCTCTCTCTCTCTCTCTCTCTCTCTCTCTCTCTCTCACACACACTCACACACCCACCACACAGACACACACACCCATACCCACACCCACTGCAACACACACCACACACTTACAGACACACATACATACCACACTTTATGAGGCACTGAGCCTTGAACCTGGGGCTTCACATTGGCTAGGGAAGTGCTGTAAAACTCAGCCGTTCATATGCTGTTTCTGTAAAGACGAGGGTTTGGGTCTATATATCCTGATACTTAAAATGAGACACAGGAGACATGGCTCAGAGGGTTAGACACTCACGGCTCTTTCAGAAGACCTGGGTTCAGGTCCTCCACAGGGCAGCTCACAACTGCCTGTTACTCTAGTCCCAGGGAGAAGATTCCTACACACACAATTCATATAATACACTCAGGCACACCACACACACACACACACACACACACACACACACACACACACACACACACAGAAGTAGGAAGAAGGAAAGGAAGAGAAGAAAAACAACCTAAAAGTAGCTAAGGGAGAATCAGTTATAGACATGGCTGAGATAAATACATTCCAGTGACTGAAGCTTCTGGGCATTGGGGCAGAGCTCAGGGATTCGACACCCGCTGACTATGCATGAAGCTCTTCATTGATCCTTACGTCAAACCAACCAAAGACAAAATCATAGAACAAACAAAACAGCCCAAAGCCCCAGACCAAACCAAAACACAAGGCTCAGACCATAGCTCACATGAGTATCTGGAATATGCTGCCACAGGAACTGTGAGATGCTCAGAAATGGGTCCAACAATTCTCAGGTGTTCTTAAGTGGACTAGAGGGCCCTCCCAATGTGACCTTTAGGCCAGTAGTTCTCAACCTTCCTAATGTCCTAATGCTGTGACCCCTTAATGCAGTTTCTCATGCTGAGGTGACCTCCACCCATTCATTGTTTTCATTGCTGCTTCGTAACTGTCACTTTTCTACCGTTACAAATTGTCATGTAAATAGTTTTTGGAGACAGAGGTTTGCCAAAGAGGCTGAACCCCACAGGGTGAGGCCCGCTGCTTTCAGAGACCCATCCACCCTTGCTACTGAGTCACCTCATGGCTCAGTGAAGCACAGAAAATCCAGAGTAGTGCAGACGATTCCTGTCTGCAGAGATGAACAGATGCATTCCCAGTGATCTTATAATCACTCTGTAGATGAGCTTTGCATTCATTAAAAGACTGGGTTGTAAGCCAGGCAGCGGTGGCACATGCCTTGAATCCCAGCACTCAGGGACAGACAGATTTCTGGATTCAATACCAGCCTGGTTACCAGTGAATTCCTGGACAGCCAGGGCTACCCAGAGAAACGTCTTGAAAAACCAAAAAGGTAAAGAGGAAAACTGGTTTGTGCACCTATCTGCCTTACTGCTGTTAACATTTTCCTGGTTCTCCGTGAATAAATGAATTAAATGTGCTGGAACCTGCTCACTTGATACTGGCTGGGAAACTGCCAGCTTTTCAGCCCCTGCCCCAACCCACCCAGGCTTCCCTCGGGGTTTGCCTCTCATGAGCATACGTACCCACGGTGTCTGGCTTGGTGGCCTGGATGTGTAGGTAGCCACTCTCCCTCATGATGCTGTGGAAAACCTTCTCCTTGAAGGGGTACAACAGCTCGATATCCCTCTCAGTGTAGCCAAGAAATCTCCCAAAACGCGGGCCCAGGAGAGGGGTCATGGAGTAGATATTTTTTGTAATGAAAGCTACATTCAAGTGCAGGCCTTTCACGTGGCTGTGGGCAGGGAAATAAAGGCACAGGTGAGCTTGGCTGCCACGAAGGACATGGGAGAGAAGATGGAGGAGGACAGGGGCAGGCCACAGAGTTGAAGAGCACAAGCCAGCCTCCTGCAGCAATCTGTCCCATGGGGAATACATGGGTTTGGAGGTGAGGGACAGGGAAGGACAGTTTCTACAGAGTTCTGATCCGGGCTGTTCCGGAGTCTGCCACCATGAAAGTCTATCAAGTGTGTCCATCCTGCAGCCCATGGACCACATATGTACTAGGAAAGGTATGAATTGCCACTCAGTCCATTACAGGTGGCATCAGATTGCAGTGTCAGAAAGTTGGACATCCATGATGTCGCCTGCATCTCTGCTCCCTGGGCTTTGCCTGGGTGCCTGTTCACAGGCACCACAAGCGTGTTATCCCAGGAGGAGGGTGGGGTCAGTGTGTTCCATTCTTAGATGCTGGTGGGAGGAGAATCCCCTCTTCTGCACTGGGTCACCATGGAGGACTTGACTTAGAGGGAGCTCCAAGTCTGCCTCTGAAGAGGGCCTAGGGTAAACAGATGCTGTATACACACAGATCCTGCCTCTGTGACTTCACTGACTCACTTGGGAACCATCTGGGCCATGTTGGTACAGATGAGGGACCCCCAGTCCCCGCCTTGAATGTAGAATTTCTGGAAGCCCAGACGCGACATCAGCTTGTAGAAGATCCTAGCAGTGGCCACCGTATTGAAACCTGTGTGTGAAGGGGACAGACAGGGGAGTCATGGCCATGTCTTTGGAGTACTCAGGCACTGTGAAGTCTCCCAGACCGTCTTTCCGTCAAGCTGGGACAACAGAACCCTGCAGCAGGCTAGAGGGGATCTTAGAGCTGCAGGGAAGTGTCCCCCACACAGGGAAAGGCGATGAGAGCTGTCCTCAGAGCAGGGCAGTGATTCCAGAGCTGCTACTGTGCAGAGCATGGCCAGCCACAGCAGCCCACTCTGCACGGGGCTCTATTAGCCATGCTGGCCTAGGGCAGGACATGGCCCAGGTATGGGGGTGCCCCTGAGCAGTGTAGGCAGCCATGTCTGTCCCCTAGACTTGTGCTCCTAAAAAACTGGCCATGTAGAAACTAAAATGTCCCTCAGACTCTTTTTTTCCCCAACCGTCTAGCTACTATGCTTCATCTTAGAATGAAAACATGGTGGCACTTCGGTCATAGCAGGCACAGTCTGGGATGCACCACCCTCCGCACTCTGTACCTTTCTTGCTGGATGCTTCTGAGAAGCCATAGCCAGGAATGGAGGGACAGATGACTTCAAACACATGCTGGTCACTCAGGCCGTGAGCCTTGGGGTCAGTCAGCAGCGGGATGATCTTGTAAAACTCATAGAAGGAGCCGGGCCAGCCGTGCACCATCAGCAAGGGTTTTGGGGTGCGGCCCGAGGGCAGCTGGGGAGGCTTCACGTGGATGAAGTGGATGTCCAGTCCTGGGGACAGAGCACAGTCGGAGTGAGGGGCGGAGCATCAGGGTGAGGGGCGGAGCATCAGGGTGAGGGACAGAGGGTCCTGCTGTAGTGGAGGCTGAGGCCCTGGGGATCTTGTTTTCCTGTGTGCCATCCCTGGAAGAGAGTAAGTGCTGTGCCCTTGGTGTCCCCAAGGCACTGATGACAGTAACAACAGGTCTCACTGTGGGGTGCCTACTGCGTGCTCTGGCTACATGCATGTCCTCACTGACCTCCCAGTCACGTTAGAGTGTGCTCTCTGGAGGGCAGAGATGGTCTGGGAATGCACTTCCGGGTTCCCATGGCCCAGGACAGAGCCTGGCTTACAGCAGGGCTCCCTAAACACTTGTTCACTGAGAACACATGGGGGGTGGAGAGGCCCAGGTACCCAGCAACAATGGGTTGCACCCAATAGAGCACTGCAGTCCTGTGAAGTGACTGTCACCGCGTGCTCATCTAATGTACAGAAGAGTCCACTGGTAGATGCTGAAAGCAAATCGCCATGTCATGATCCAGGTTTTGCAAAAGTTGGCCTAAGATCTATCAGTGAACCAGGCGTCAGAGCTTGGAGAAAGAGGGACCTGGAAAAGTCCATTGTGAGGCAGGGGTGTGGCAACAAATGAGGCAGGAGTCTTCTCGGACCAAACCTATACCAGGGAGCACGGAAAAGGAGTCTAGTTGGAGACCTGTTGCGCCCGGGGACTGAGGCCACCAAACAGCACTGTTGGCTGGTACAGAGGATCACAACCCTGGTCCAGCAGAACACCCTGCAAACCAGGCCCAGCACAGGCTGCCAGGCCTGCTACATCACACAAGGTCACCCAAGGTGAGCTCAAGGCTGGAACTGTCCCCTTTGAGCATCTGTACCCTGAGGAGACTTTGTGCTGTAACACTCTAGTAACGATAGTTACTAGGCAGACAGTGAGTCGAAGCTGTGCTCCCAAGCCTGCCACCCCTGGAAGGAAATATTGCTTAGTGCCATCCTGGGCATTGCCTGCCCTGCTTCCTCCTCCGCTGGCCGCTTGTCCTAAAGTCAGGTTCTGTGTATTTTGCCACAAGAGAATGTGAACTTGAAGTTTACACAGTGGCTCTGGCTTTTGTTTCCATACCCGATAGTCTTTAAGGTTTGTGACAGCAGCTGTGACTTGTGACTTGATGGAGAATCATCTAGGAGAGAAGTCTCAATGAGGGATTATCTAGATTAGGTTAATTAAGGTGGGACCCCACCAGCCCATGGCCTGGCCTGCTGGACTGAATCAAAAGAATGAAGGGATTCATTGCTCTGTGCTCCTTGACTGCAGACGCAGGGTGACCAGCTGCTTCAGGCTCCTCCTACAAGGATGTCATCATGATGGCCAGCACCCTTGAACAGTTAGCTGAAATAAACCCTTCCCTCCTTAAGCTGGTGTGTGTGTGTTTGTGTGTGTGTGTGGTGTGTGTGTGTTTGTGTGTGTGTGTGGTGTGTGTGTGTGTGTGTGTGTGTGTGAGAGAGAGAGAGAGAGAGAGAGAGAGAGAGAGAGAGAGAGAGAGAGAGAGAGAGAGAGAGAGAGAGAGAGAGAGAGAGAGAGAGCATGTGTGTTTATTCCAGGGGAGTACATCAGGAGTCCTTTTCTTTTTTTTATTTTAATTTTTAAATTTAAATTTTAATTAGAAACAAGGTTGCTTCACATGTCAATTCCAGGTCCCTCTCCCTTTCCCTCCCCTCCTCCCACGCCCTCCCACCAACTTCCCCAGCACCCTCTCATTTCCCCAGGGAGGGTGAGGCCCTCCATGGAGGTGTCCATTGTCTGTTATTTCATCCAGGGCAGGACCTAGACCCTCCTCCAAGAGTCCAGGGTGAGAGTGCATCTCTCATTGTTGGATGGGCACCCAAAGTCCATTTGTATACCCGGGATAAATACTGATCTACTACCCAAGGCCCCATAGATTACCTAGGCCTCCTCACTGACACCCATGTTCAGGGGGTCTTGATCAGTCCCATGCTGGGTTCCCAGCCATCAGTCTGGGATTCAAGAGCTAACTCTTGTCAGGTCAGCTGTTTCTGGGGGTTAAATCAGCCCAATCTTAACCCCTTTGCTCATCAGTCCTCCCTCTCTGTCACTGGTTCCTTGAGTTCAGCTCAGTGTTTAGCTGTGGGAGTCTGCCTCTGCCAGGAGTCCTTCTCTAATATTCTGTTTATTCTTTTAAGAGAGGGTCAACCACTGAACTTGGAACCTGTGTTGTTTTGCCTGGGCTTGGAGCCCCCAAGGATCTCCACCCTCCGACCCCACATTTGTGGGGTTACATCTGTAATATTTATTGCTAACTTGGTTGGTTTGGGGATTACATAGGAGATGTGTAAGGGTGTTTCCATGGAGACTTAAGAGAAGCAAGAAGATCTGCCCGAAATACGGGCAGCATGGGTAATCAAAAGACTGACTAAAATATGGAGGAAAGGAGAAAAATGAGAAGATCACATCCCTTTCTGTTGCTTCTGGACTAGTGATCAAAGATGACATCACCCCCTGCTGCTTCCCTGCCAGGATGGACTTGTATCCTAAAACCAGGAGCCAAAATAAACCCAGTGATGTTTAACTCTGTCAGGCTTTATGTTAGAGCAATAAGGAAAAAACTGCTCCTGTGACTCACACACCCCCTGAGCCAGGCTGGTGATCTGGGAACTCACCTTCAATCTTGGTCTTGAAGTGAGGGTACTGGTTGAGGATCTCCACCTGCTTCCTCCAGTCAAACTCGTTCCTCCAGTAGGACACCACTTTCTTCAGGTAGCTGGAGTTGAAGCCATAGTGGAAGCGACTGCCCTCCAAAGGCGGCGATGCCCGGAAGCCATCGATCCTGTGGTGTAAGTCCTGCAGTGCAGAAGCCAGGGTGGGTGGGCAGAGGCAGGAGAGAGCTGTGTCCACAACTCAGAGTGAGCCCTGCAGCCGCAGATGGACACCATGGAGGGGCCACACAGGGCCATGTGTGTCACCGGAGCCCTGAGAGGCTATGGTTCCCCTGTGGACTCCAGACTCCCTTCCATCTCCCTTTGATTGGGTGGAATGGGAGTGGAGGGAGGGACAGAAGCTTTGCACAGGTCGCCCAGGATGTGTTCTCCTTTAGCTCCACCCAGCCATCTTTTCATTTCTTAGGCATGTGGACAATACTCATTTTTTTCTTTTTTCTTTGTTTCTTTTCTTATTTTTTTTTTTTTGAGACAGGGTTTCTCTATAGCCTTGGTTGTTCTGGAATTTACTCTGTAGATCAGTCTTGCCTTGAACTCAGAGAGTTCTGCCTGCCTCTGCCTCCCAAGTGCTGGGATTAAAGTCATGCATCACCACTGACTAACTCCAATACTCACTTTGAATTCAACGAGCCTACTGTAGAGTAGAGGTTGGTAAACTTTATCAGGAATCACACAGTAAGATTATTAGGCTTTGCAAGATATAGTTTCTCTACTTTCTCCATGCAGCAAAGGAGCTGCCACAGATGACCCCTGCTGTAGCAATGAGGCTGTGGTCACAGATGACCCCTGCAGGACCAGTGAGGGCTGTGTCCCACCAAACTTCCATATATGACTGAAGCTCGAATGCCACACAATCATTGCATTAGCTCCAATTATTAGTTTTCCTTTGGCTTTTGTCCACACTGATCTCAAGATACAAAAGTCATTCTTGACATTGGCCATTGCAAGAAAAAGTCCTAGGCTACATTTGGCCTGTGAGCCATGATGTGCCAACACTCGCTAACAGTTGGATGACTCATCCTAACCCAGTGGGAAAATATGGAGTGCCTAGGAGACAGGTTCTAAGTGTACTGGGTGTGAATCCGGATAACAATCCAGCAACCTACCCGGGCATGCTCATTCCAGGTCACGGGACAGCTCAGGTGCCACCATTCCCAGAGACGTCCCCATGCTCTGGCCTTTCCCAAACAGGTTTGCAGTACTCAGACCTGAGCACCCTGGTTCTCGATCCCTTTCTCCTTGGAACTCGTGTGAACTTTTGTCAGTACATCTGATGACATTGATTCTTACTTGATGGGGGAAGTCCTGTGTATATGTCAATAAAGCACTGTTGTCCAATAGAGAACCAAGATAGATGGGACTAGGAGTCCAGGAGGACTCTGGGAAGGAGAAACACAGGAAGTCGAGATGTAACGCCATGGGGGTAGGAAGCCCGGAAACTTCTCCGGTAATTATGGGGTAATTACTTAAGTCAGAGCTAGCCAGTAAGAAACAAGCAAGGCCCACAGCTTCATAATTAATACAGCATCTTGTGTGTTATTGGGGACTACAGCGTGGCAGAGCCCAGGTGACTGGCAGGGGATAAACCAAAGCGGCTAGCAAGGAAAGGCTTCCCTTTACACTTACTGGTCCTCGGGTCTCCAAATCTTAACACCGAGCATATTCCTTTCTCACTTACCGATGCCGAATGTGTGTGTGAAACTGCATGGGGCGGGGGAGTGGGGTGTGTCTCATCTCCCATGCATTCCATAGAGCGCCTGCGCCAGGTGGGTGCCCAGGCACTTAGGGTGACTAGAAGGATGGGTAGGGCCACACAGTGCTTTCCCCTCCTTGGGCCCTGCTCCGTCCAGCCTCTCCCAGGAGGCTCTATGCTTTGCTCTCTGTCCCTACTAGTCGGCTTCTTGAGACTTCGGGGTTTGGAAATGGCCTTGGAGTTGCAGCTGATTTCTAACCATTCTGCTTGTTCACACAATCTCCTGGGACCCATGACCATGCCATTTTCAGCTTCATTTTTATCCTCTGTGAGCTGAGACAGCGAGCCCCACTGGGCAGCTTGATAAATGTCATGATGGGCCCAGGAGTACCTAGCACACAGTAAAGGCCCACCTGAGGCTGGTCCTGTGATCTCCAGGCTGTTGCATTTCCTGGGGCATCACCTCCTTCTGTAGGTGTGACTGCCACATGGACTCTGGAGCACCTGCTCACTTTTCCCTTCGGGCTATCTCAAGCTCCATCCTTTAGGTTGGTCAAGGGGAGCTGAACTTAGCAGCCTCCTGTGACTATTGTGTATGCAAACAACCCCATCCCCAGCAGTCTTCCTGACACATCCTGGCCTCGGGGAAGGATGGGGAGGCACAGGATGAATGGCACTAAGAAGGCAGACCCCTTCTCTGGGGCAGATTAAGGGTCACTAAAGGGCACAAAGTTCCTTCCCTCCCATACCCTTATCCATATCAGAGAGAAACCCCAGCAGGGATACCTGCTGGTTTTTTGCTCCTGCCTGCAAAAAGGCATCTCACCTTGATCTCCTCATCTGATGTTTCCACCTTGAAAGGTCGGATGCTCTCATCTTCTCTGGTTGAGGGCTTCGACCCTGGGCCCCACCAGCCATCTTCAAGAGGTAAGGTTTCCTCCTTGTCCCGGGAGACAAACCAGTAGATGACAAGGCCCAGCACGGAGGCCAGGAGGAGTTCCAGCCACATGACTCTTGAGAGATTGAATGGGAGAAGAGAAAAAAACAAGCTTTAACATTAATTAAATGTGACAGAAAGGGATTCCCTAGTAGGCCTGCTTAGGAAGCACCAAGTTACATAGAAATAACCTAAACCGAAGGCCCCTTCCTCAGTGGTACTGGAACACAACCATAAGATATCACCTCACCACCTGTCCCTCCTAGACAGTCTAGAGAGCAACAAGAAACTGTTTCAGTTCTGACTTGGTTGGAACTTAGGCATGTTGAGACTGTTACAGTTCTGACTTGGTTGGAACTTAGGCATGTTGAGACTGTTACAGTTCTGACTTGGTTGGAACTTAGGCATGTTGAGACTGTTATAGTTCTGACTTGGTTGGAACTTAGGCATGTTGAGACTGTTACAGTTCTGACTTGGTTGGAACTTAGGCATGTTGAGACTGTTACAGTTCTGACTTGGTTGGAACTTAGGCGTGTTGAATCTGTGTTAAAACTTGCTCACCAGGGCCCCTCCTCTCATCAGAAGGGAGCAAACACTTGAGGAACTGCCTTGAAGTAATGACCTTGAATGCTGTTCAAGTCTGCTTTAAGGCAGTGGAAACCATATTTGTTCCTCAGGCTCTGCGATCAGCTCAATTGAAAAAACAAACAAACAAACAAACAACAAAACAAAACAATAACAACAAAATGCAGCAGAGAGATTACAAAAAACCTTCAGTTTCTGCTTCTGCAACACTTGTCTAATTGCTCAAATATGTTACATGGGGGACCTTAAAGGCCACCTGCAGATGAGAGTGTATGTAAGAGTACATTACAACATCCTATATACAATGTGACAAATTTGTTTCAAGGCCAATGCACACTTTAAAAAGAACTTTTCTGTTTGTCTCTGGGTGCTGGTTGAATTTCTCACTGGGCTGGGTAAATTTCCATTACAAGATGACGGCACAAGAGGACTGACTTAGCCAGGACTTTATGCCTGGCAGGCCAGAGACATGAGCTGCCAATGGGCTCCTCCCTGCCACCTGTCCCATAGACCCCTGGCTTTATTCATGTTTGTCCTGTAAGAAAAATGTCAATGATGACAGAATGAAAGCCTTGCTGCTGCTGCTTCTCCTTCCTCCTCCTCCTCTTCTTTTTTCCAGACAGGGTTTCTCTGTGTAGCTGTGGCTGTTCTGGAACTCGCTCTGTACACCAAGCTGGCCTCACACTCACAGAGATCCACCTGCCTCAGGCTCCCAAGTGCTGGGGTTAAGGCATGCGCCACCATCGATGGCTGACAGCCATGTTTCTTGTCTCAGATGTATTGTTCTACAAGAACCCCAGAGTTTATGAGGAAGGCTCTTCTGCATGGTTATTTGACAGTAGCTGTCACACAAGACAGGCACACCCTAGGCTTGCGGACAGCCGCCACACCTTATATAGAAGTACTTCTTCAAGGTGTCAGCACTGTGACTGTGCACTCCATCTCAGACCGAGGCCACTGTCCTTACAGATCACCATGGCCAAGGGTTGTGTATCTTTTAGTTTCTTTAATCTATTTATTTATTTTTTGTTTTGTTTAATTGCTGTGGCTACAATCCACATTCTTAACCACACGAGGCCAAAACTCTTCTGCTCTTTTCTCAGCCCCACGTTCCTTATTCTGCCTTTAAAAACATCTCTTTGTTCCAGCATCTTCAGCTACGTGCATGGTTTATGATTTATGCGTTCCTGGTGCTGTGCGCCATGTTTTAAATAAACAGTAGCCTTTGGAGACTCTGTTTTTGTTTTTTGTAATTCTTCTGATGGTGGCTCTGGCTATGATCCTCAGGCTGAGCACAAACCCTGGAGTTCCAGCCAACTTCCTGCCTCATCTCCCTAAGACACAGGACAGTGGACAGGGACCACATGTTTGGCTGACATTTTTTATTTTTAGGTCAACAATCCTGAAATTATGTTTTGAAAACTTGGAAACCAACGAGAAGACGAGAAAATCCACCACACTAACACTATGTCATAAAAACCATGAACTATTCCGGGGAAATGAGCATCGTGACTTTGGCATGGTCCTGGATGGGTCCTTGGGGTGCGTTCTGACGCCTGGGGCCTTTGAGGCATCTTGGGCTCCTGAAGCTTCTAGGGAGGCTTTCTGTACACCCAGGTCCCTGGGAGACTTCCCACCGTGTGGGCCTGACGGCAGGGCCTGGGTCTGAGAGTAGAGCTGACTGGGTTCCTTGCTCTGTCCCCGTAGAGGCTACGCAAAAGTAAGCAAGAGCTCAAAGGCTCTGGAAGATGGAGTCCAGTTGACAAACACAGGTCAGGAAGCTCATGTTTGGCCATCCACATCGTCTCTGTGCATTTCCAACAGCTTTATTGAGATAAGATGCACACACTCTTCCTGGTTTCTCCTGGTCCACCCTCCCCTGGGCCGGGTGCAACCACTTCTCGAGTTCTGCGGCTACTCACGGCCTGTGGAAGCTCAGAAAATCCAGTTATGGGTTAATCTCCATTTGTTTGGTTCCTGTGCATTTTTTTCCTCAGAGAGGAGAAAAAATAACTTGGCCTCTGCAAACCAACACGAGGAAGACTCAGCCCAGACTGTGGCCTGGCTCCTCAGCTTCCCTTTTCCCAGGGAACAGCCAGCATTGGCTGTGTTGGAAGAAGTTGGCTGAAACATGAACAGTGTCCTCAGACAGCAGCAGAGGAGGTTTCGTAAGACACAACATATTCAGGGCCTCTGTGACTTTAGGGCATTAAGAAAATGTGAAAAGGAAGGAAGGCAGGGAGGGGGGAGGGGGGAGGAAGGGAAGCAGGAGGGGGAGGGAGGTTGCACAGATTTCTTTCTTTTTTTTTGTTTTCTTTTTAATCCAAAGACACCTGACAGAAATCTTACTCTCTGAGAAGGTGCACAGTGTCCTCTGGAGTCTCCCGTCATTGAAGGTAGGTTAGCATAGGGACCGCGGGAGCACCAGGAGTAAGCGCTCTAATAGCAGGGCAGGTAGGAACAGTTCACCCAGCCTAAGGCTAAAGTCATAACAGATCCTGCTTCCAGAAGGTGAGGCGTACAGTCTTGGCTCCTGTCACAGTCCCTAGCTCCCTGCACTACAGCCAGCACAGACGGCCATGGCTGTTTTGACCCCAGCTGAAGAGAAGCCAACGAGAACAATTCTGCACGACATCATCAGGAGAGCAGCAAGCAGGGGCAGCAGGAAAGATGGACAACCTGTCCAGGGAACTTGGCAATCAGCCCCCCTACCTGACTGCAGCTGGGAGAGGCCGAAAACGCCGCTGTTGCTTTCCTTGTGGGTAGAAGCTCCTGCTTTCTTTTCCTGGACGGAATTATCCCAGCACACTCTGCTGTCCACCAGGGTTCAACGCTGGCCCCTTGAGCTGTCTTCAAGCAGCAGACCTATGGCACTCTGCATCCAGAGCCCTTGGGACAGGCGGTGCAGAGTGAGTGTGAGTCCCTCGGCACTCTCTTTGTAGACTTGCACGCCCCCAATGACTCAGCTAATCTTCTGTGTGCTGCAGGGCGATTATGACTCTGGACTTCATACAGCGAGCTGAACCACATTGACCCAGACACCAGGCGAGTGCCAAGAGATCATCGCTGGACCTCCCTCTAAAGGAAGGGAATCCAGGGCAGAGTGTTAGGACAGCCCACGCCAACTCTGCTCAGCAGACACCCCCTTTTTTTTTTTTTTCCTTTTCGGTGGTGTATTGGTTTTGTGTGGGGAAACCGCAACTTGAAAACCTTATATTGAAATTTCAGCAATAATTCATCATTTAAAACCGTGTGCCACTCTGAGCGGCGTGATAACGACTCCCATTGTCCCACTCCTTCTCAACCCCTTCATAAGCCATGCCTTTGTCCCCGGCATCAACACTGTAACACCAGTTAGTTACTTAGCGGTGCTTAGCTGTCACATCGACTATCACAACATGGCAGAGCAGTGTCCTGATTTCATTTATGACAGCTCCAAAGCTCAGGTCGGGTGACGCTGGCGACAGTGCAGGTGTAGACCGCTGCTAACATCCAACCGGATCATTAGTGGTTGTTAATCCCCACTGGGTCTAATTATAAAGAGCCTTATCATGAGTGTGCATGCATGACCACACATGGAGTATTCTAATACTTTCTTCAGCTTTAGTCTCTTCGCCCCAGGGGTGGAGTTTCTTGGACAGTATTATCTTCCAATCTGACCAAGTGAAGTTACCGCAGAGAACAAAGTAACAGATGTAAAGCGAGATTTAAATTGTTCTCTTACTCTCTAATTAAGATAAGGACGGGACCTTGAGACTCGTGACCTCAGACTACGAGGCAGGTTCGACTACAATGTGTTATTTCCACATCTACCAACCTCCACTCCTTATTTTACAGCGCATAGTAAATGCTGTTCCAGATTAGCCCAGAGCAGCAGCCCGCATTGACCTCCTGCAGGTTGGGTCTCAAGGGTGTATAACCAAGGATGCCTACAGATTCACGAGGACGACACAAGTTGTGGAAGTGCATATAGCCGGGAAACAACTGACCAGTGGGGTGGTGTCACATTGCAACTCTGAGCTGCAGAGCCAATTGATGACTTCAGAGTAGGAGAAAAGTTTTGTTAGTGCTTCATGCGGCAGAAGATTAATACGTAGAAAATACAAAGGATAAAAAAAAAATAGAAGAACAAAAAAAGTCCAATTTATAGGCCAGGCATTGGTGGCACCCGCCTTTAATTCCAGCATTCGGGAGGCAGAGGCAGGCGGATCTCTGTGAGTTCGAGACTAGTCTGGTCTACAGAGCAAGGCCAGGCTCCAAAGCAATACAGAGAACCCCTGTCTTGAAAAAAGCAAACAAATCCAATTTATAAATGGGCTAATGCTTTGAACAGACATGGCTCAAAAGAGGAATAAATGGCCAAAAAACAGGAGGGAAAATGCCCAGTATATTTTGCTATTAACGAATACATTGCCATTCTGATAAAAATGGCTGCTAACAAAATATCTGGAAGTAACTAATCCAAGCGAGGGTGTGGGGGAAAGGAACCTGTATACACTGCTGGTAGCAATGTGAATTAATGCAGCCCCTATGGAAATCAGTGTGGAGGTTCCTTAAGAAACCAACGTTAGAACCACCATATGAGCCAGCCACAGCACTGGATATAAGCCTGGAGGACCATAAGTCAAGACATCACGGATTCATGTTGATTGCTGAATTCTTCAAAAGCCAATTAACCCTAAAGATGAATGGATGAAGAAAATGTGGCATGTACGCACAGGGGTTTTTACTCAGCTATGAAGGTGAATGTCTTCCCAGGCAAATGGGTAGAAGCTGAGGAGTGGCCAGCTGTGGCAGCACGTCCCAGCAGCCGGGATGCAGAGGCAGGCTGGTCTCTGTGAGTCTGAGTCCAGCCTGGGCTCCATAAGGAGACCCGATTTAAAGAAAAGTGTGGCAGTAAGAGACTTGCAATGGTAGGTGTGATGGCTAATCAATTATCAACCTGTTGAGCTCTAAATCCCCCAATGGGTGAATCTCCGGGCATGCCTGTGGGGGATTATCATGACTAGGTTAAGTGAGGTGGGAAGACCTACCCACTGTGTGCAGAACCATTCCCTGAGGTGAAAAGACCTACCCGCCGGGTGCAGGACCATTCCCTGAGGTGGGAAGACCTACCCACTGTGTGCAGGACCATTCCCTGAGGTGAAAAGACCTACCCATCGTGTGCAGGACCATTCCCTGAGGTGGGAAGACTTTCTGTCACAAAAGACCAGGGAACCATGAGTCAAAATCAACGATCTCTTCCTTAAGTTGCTTTGTTAGGGTATTTTCACAGGGCAACGGGAAAAGTAACTAGACAGTAGACAAGAGCGAAGAACCGTGGAGACATGTATAGAGATGCCAACGACGTCTGCCGGAATCCCTGTCTGAGGATTGCTGTGTCAAGGCACACACTGCTGCCCCGCCCCCAGGCTGCTCCTCAGCAGCCTTTTACGTTCTTAAACCCACACTACCTGTGGTGGTCTGAGTGTAACTGGGCCCCATAAACTCACAGGGAGTGTTGTCATTTCCAGGGTCCCACGGCCACCCACGTGGACACCTGCATTCAAGCAAAAGGATCAGTCATACCAGGTGTTAGCAGTTCTGGGGTTGGTCGAGCACATGCACCATCAGCGTTCAGGTAAAATGCTTAGTCATCCCAGGGCCTTATGTGCAAGCCTAGCGAGGTCGTGTAACCCATGCATAAGCGTGGCGTGGTTACCTAAGCCCCCAAACACATGCACTAAGTGACCTTTGAAACACAGACATGCCCGACCCACTTCCTGTCTCCCCACGTTTCTTCCAGACAGGCCTGTGCACCCCAGTCTCCCTACTCCTTACTGATAAAGCCTTAGAGTGGGTTTTGTTGTGTGTCTGTGGTCTCTTCTTGCGCAGGGTAAGTAACAGGGAGTGGCACTAACAGGAGGCTTGGGTTTGTTGGAGTAGGTGTGGCCTTGTTGAGGAAGCTTGTCACTGTGGAGGCGTGCTAAGAGGTCTCATATATGCTCAGGCCGTGCCCAGGGCTTCAGACCACTTCCTGTTCCCTGCAGGTCAAGATGTGGGACTCTCAGGTCTGCCACCGTGTCCTGCATGAAGACAGTGGGCTAACCCTCTAAACCCAGTTGTGTGGTTTCCTTCATAGAAGCTGCTGTGATTATGGGGTCTCTTCACAGCAACAGAAACCTTTTTTTTTTTTTTTCGAGACAGGGTCTCTCTGTATTGTTTTGGAGGCTGTCCTGGAACTCACTCCGTAGACCAGGCTGGTCTCGAACTCACAGAGATCTGCCTGCCTCTGCCTCGAGAGTGCTGGGGTTAAAGGCATGCGCCACCAACACCCCGCTTGCAGGCTTCGGGCAGGGCAGGACACAGCTTGTCAAGGGCCAGACCATAGGCACTAGAATTACGGATGGTTTGTGAGTCGCCATGTGGGAGTTGGGAATTGAACTCAGGACCTCTGGAAGAGCAGCCCCGGCTCTTAAGGGCTGAGTCATCTCTCCAGCCCCCTTCAGGGTCCTGTAAGCATGGGACCATATAATCTAGAAATAGTTTCGTCGTCTTTCAAATTTGTATCTCCCTTTTTTAGAAATAAACTTTTATTCAGTACACTCACAAGTCAGTCTCAGAGATAGCCTGTGTCCCCTGGGTGAATCGGGTCCCCAAACATTGTGTCCCGTGTGACTCATGCACTGTGTCCCGTGTGACTCATGTACTGTGTCCCGTGTGACTCATGCACTGTGTCCCGTGTGTCCCATGCACTGTGTCCCGTGTGACTCAGGCACTGTGTCCCGTGTGACTCATGCACTGTGTCCCGTGTGACTCAGGCACTGTGTCCCGTGTGACTCATGCACTGTGTCCCGTGTGACTCATGCACTGTGTCCCGTGTGACTCAGGCACTGTGTCCCGTGTGACTCATGCACTGTGTCCTGTGTGACTCAGGCACTGAGTCCTGTGTGACTCATGCACTGTGTCCCGTGTGACTCAGGCACTGTGTCCTGTGTGTCCCATGCACTGTGTCCCGTGTGTCCCATGCACTGTGTCCCGTGTGACTCAGGCACTGTGTCCCGTGTGACTCAGGCACTGTGTCCCGTGTGACTCATGCACTGTGTCCCGTGTGACTCATGCACTGTGTCCTGTGTGTCCCATGAACTGTGTCCCGTGTGACTCAGGCACTGTGTCCCGTGTGACTCAGGCACTGTGTCCCGTGTGACTCATGCACTGTGTCCTGTGTGACTCAGGCACTGAGTCCTGTGTGACTCTGGTCCCCATGCACTGTGTCCTGGGTGACTCATGCACTGTGTCCTGTGTGTCCCATGCACTGTGTCCCGTGTGACTCATGCACTGTGTCCTGTGTGACTCATGTACTGTGTCCCGTGTGACTCATGCACGGTGTCCTGTGTGACTCAGGCACTGTGTCCTGTGTGTCCCATGCACTGTGTCCTGTGTGACTCATGCACTGTGTCCCGTGTGACTCGTGTCCCATGCACTGTGTCCTGGGTGACTCATGCACTGTGTCGTGGGTGACTCGGGTCCCCATGCGTCCACTCTGCGTTTAGTTTTCTGACCCTTACTCAGTAGTCTCAGATCGGTGGTCAGTGCTTATGGCCAGCTGCCATTATTTCACTTAACGGTGACCACGGTGGGTAAGGGGAATTGTGTGGCGTTCAGAGTGCTAAAGTGGGACTTGGAAGCAATTCCACCAAGTGAAAAGTAAATGTCCTTGGCATATGGGTAAAGAAAAAGATGTCAAATACGGAGAGCCTGAAGGATCAAATCTTTGATCCACAGATTTGTGAAGAAGGAAAAAGAAACGCCTGTCATTTTCAGGGTGGCATCGCACACCAGGCCAGTTCCAGCCACAGTGGCTGAGGGCTTCCCTGTGGTTTCTCGCTTGTGTTGGGCATCTCGGAAGACCTCCCCTGTAGATCAAGGGGGGTGTTGTAGGACGGGTGCCCACCCCTGGGCTGTGGTGCCCTCCTCACTTCCCCTCCCTCAGACCCACTGGAGAGCTGGGCTTCAGTGCAGCCCAAACAGGAGGCTCTGGGGATGG